AATTGGTACAATTAAAAGGTATTGCGTGATATTTAGTCATTATACCCATGTATTTAATTGCAGGAAGCATTGTTGATAGTAGCCACGAAGAACAAGAATTCAGCAAAAAATTTATTTCTGAATATGTATCAAAAGTTTTTGAAACCTGTCTTTCGATACATAATAATCATGAAGCTGCACTCAATACTCTAGCTACTTGTATTAAGTATTATGGGAGTTGGTTCGCGCCACATAAGTTGCGTGTAGAACATTTTATCACGAATTTCCTAGAAAATCCTTCAGAACAGTTAGTTGGAAGTGCTGCTACAGCTTTTCATTATTTACAACAGGTAATAAGTTATTTCTTTATAAATCTGCAAATAAAATATTATTGTTCATTTCGTCAGGTTGGAGGTGCAGGAATCGACGGAATCAACCATAAAAGAAATTTCTCTACCAATTTTAGCAAACTGTGCGTCACCGTGCAAAAACTATTCGATAAATTTTTCGAAAACGAAATTGAAATTGACCAGAGTGATAGATCTAATCAAGAAGCATTTGAATTTACAGATTTACCACATTATACACAGAAAATGTTACACATTACTACGAGACGCCTGAAAAATTGTTTGACCTTCATAATAAAAATGTTGCTGTAAGTGATATTTGAACCATTTTTTAATTATTACATTGCAATCATATTTTTACTCGCGTTTTTCAGTAAAGGTTTTCCTGCGGAGAAGGAAATAAAACCGAGTGATGTCTTAGACGTTATCAGTAGAGGCACTGCGGTCCATCGCTGCCTGGGCACCGCCAATGACAATTCCTTGGAAGACTTTCAGTTTTCTATCCTTTTAAATCAGGTGCAGATAGAGTTGCTACGGTTATTGCAAGTACTTATCGTTTGGTAATTAAGTAAAAATTAAAAGCAATATACGTGTATACATCGACATATTTCGTTTTAGGTTACATGGGAATGCTTTACCGTTTACTTTCACCATCACTAAAATCCTAGTAGACTGTTTAAAAAGGTCCCAGTCCTGCCAATGTTACAAAACAGATAGGTAACTATGAAAAATAATTCAATTAATGTCTCTGACGGGGAAACGTTAAAAAAATTTTTAGCCTTTATCAGGAGAGGGTTTATAAAGCGTTAGGATGTTGGATAAGGGTCTCGAGAGGTGCTTTGCATACGCACTTCCAAACGCAATTGGTAAAATGCATCTTGAAAGACGTAACGCCAGTAAAAAATAGTGTATCTTTAAATGTAAGTACTGCAAATTATTTAATAGGGTCACTTATGGTTTTTCTTATACAAGGTGTTCCGATTAAATCTTCCCACCTGGAAAATATCGGAATTAAAAAAAAAACAGCTGCCCCCCTCTAGGAATCGAATTGCCGCCTGCTAGTTAGCTCGAGCCGCGCTTGAATGCTTCTTTTTGACGCACAATTAAAAATGCAGAGGTGGCAAAAATGAAGCACAGTATTTTTTTATTGAAAATATATTATTGGCTTCAGAAGCAATAGATTCATGTAATAGACATAATCGAAAAATGGAAATCAAAAAAGATATTCAAGAAAAACGCAACCAAAAAATTTTTACTTTTTTTTTTAGTCATTTTTGGAAATTTGAAATGAATAAAATCGTTATCACTCATTTTTACCATGAAAGTACAACTCTTAAGGAAAAAAATGAGCCTTCACTCGTTTCTCTACGACTATTCGTCCAGCAAGACGAGCCGATTTTCAAGATGACCTCTTTTTCGGAAAATCTCGCTATAACTCGAAGTTTTTAATTTTTTTTATTTAAAAAAAGCACTTTTGCTTGCCGAAGGCTACATTTACAGCAAATGACAAGTTTGAAAACCTTAATTTGCAAGAGATACAGCAGGAACAAAACAGGTCGATTTTTGATGGTTTTTTCGATATGTCTCGAAAAGTAATACAGCAATCGATATATTTAAAAATACGAATCAATAGATTTTTTCAATAGCTACAACTTTCTTATTTACCGTTTTTCGATTGTAGTTCAAGTTTTTTTTATTAACAAAAAACCGTATTTTCGACATTTATGAATTTTTTAGGTTAACTTCGCCGTTTATGCGCCACAGGAAAAATACACTGTTTCTTAGAATTTTTTCCTATATTACCATATTTTTTGTTTACGCCATCTCACGTGTTCCCCTTGAAAAGAAAATCGACGTCTCCGTTTTTTTTTAATCCCGATATTTTCCAAGTGGGATGTTGTAATTGAAACACCCTGTATATGTATAACTTTACTCAACAGAATGAGGTATTATTGACATGTTGTGTCAATTAAATTCAGTGAACTGTAAATTTTCGCTTAAGCGATTAGTTGCTATTATTGGCCATTTATGGCACTGCCAAATTATACACGTAACAATAAGGCGGTACACGATCGAGTTCCTGATTCTCTCCAAAACAAAAAATTGTTTGTTAACTTTATTTTACAAGTATTATTTGTTCATATAGTACTTCCTATAGATTTTCCGACGCTATTGCATTGGAATTTTGTGTGGTTTTTTTATCTACCTACCTTATTTCAGTTGCCAGGAGACGTGCATAAAAATAAGTCGAAGAAAGCTATACAAAAGGCCGTTCAAGACAGAATTATTTCAAGTGGGCAGGGAAACAGGAGCGAGTAATTCCGTTGCGATGTTATCGTAAAAATATGTTAAATAATTTGTTTCTAGGGAATTCACGAACACAGAGAAGTTTAATCGAGAGAAGAACTGTTTGTTCGCTTTAAATACTTTGAAACACCTATTGAGTGGCACTATATTAAAATTACATCCAAATACCATGCAGGTATGTCCGTTTGTTATCGTTTTGTTTTGGTAGAAACTCGGTTATTTAAATTGATGTAATCCGAGATCGGGAGTCTCCGATTGTTTCTCCGCTACGAGTTTTTGTGACGAATTTGCCATTTCATCTGTTTGAAAAATAATCGAGATTCTATTGCACAAATTATTATACTTATAAACTTCACAAAGAACTTTCGATTTCAGGAGCTTTACAAGTCTATAATCAACACCTTAATCGACATACAAATCTCCGAGACCAGTCACCCTTACACGAACCGGGAATGCGAAGCGGAACTGTACGAGGTCTTCGTGACTTTCTACGAACAAGACACACTAAAGACCCTACCGCCCCTCCAACTCACCATCGACGTTCTTAACAGAGGCATTAATAGCACCAACAGGACGATCGCTTTGACGTGCGAACACGGTTTAAGTAGTTTGGAGAAGATATGCCGTCCCGTTTGCCCTTCTATGTTTATATCGGAGGGTACTACACCGGAACAAGCCGTATTGCTTCCCGAGGACAAATCTAGTGAAGACGCACTTGAAGATATGAGAGACGTTAGTGAATCGGGTATGGAAGAAGCAACTTTAGATACTTCCAGTACCTCGGAGAGTGAAGGCGCGTTGGAAAAAGGCGAAGCGGACGAAGAAATCGAGGTGAAAGAAGACGTAATGGAAAATGGGACGGAAACGTCGATTACTTTGGAACAGGAACCGTCAGTTCATATAATCGATATGCAGATCATAAAATCGTCTGCCGAGGACGTAGAATCAGATATAGAAGATTCTGCAAAAGATACGCAAAATGGTTCCGTTGCGGGAGAACAAATACAGGAAGGCGATGGTAATAAACACTTTGCATTACAGGGTGCCCCAGGAATAAGTGCCAAAATTTTAACCATGATTTTAACTCGTTGGGAGCAACTTTTTTCAAAAGTTTTCGATATATTTTTTATTTTTTTTTACCCAACTGCGACGCAAATAAACACTTACAGTTCATCGTTGTGATAGAATTTCAGGAAAGAATCAGCCAATAAAGTTCTGTTATCGGAACTACTGTAACAATTTACCGCAGCGGGGACGTGCCTTGAAATTTCCCACTTTATTTTCAGATTCAAATATATAAAGTAGATTTTTTGGATTAAAATGTGTTTTTATTTCTTTTACAGTACAGTAGAGCACACATCATAAATTAGAACGATATACTTCCGAACAAACATGACTTCGTAACTGCAAAACATAGTCTTGGGGTCTTCTTGAAATTCTATCTCGACAAATATCGTATGGACTGTAGTTGAGATAATAACAGAGAAAATGCAAAAAATAGGCAACCAATTCATATATTTCTTTAATCTAAGGCAGTTCGTTAGCAAAACTGAGTTTTCGGAAAAATGTTTTATATAAAAGTTGTTGCTGTTATTAGGGTAAATAAGTGTTAAATTTTGGCACTGATTTCCGTATATAATTCATCAATTTTTTTTTCTAGAGTCTTTGGACATAAAAAGAGAAATGTTGAACCAAAACAGCATTCAAGAACGTGAGGAAATAACGGAGTTTGTGGAAGATTTCGAACCGCCTCTGAAAAGGATACGAGGAGACGACACACCGACTCCCTCGTCAAACGTGAAAGAGGAAGAATTCTTACAAAACCCAGAGGATAATATATTCGAGGAAGGTAATTACTTTGTGATCTGATCGTCCGCAGTCAAACTAATTTGAAGTTTTCGTCCTATACAGAGTCCTTAGAAAATAAAGAACATTTAAATGACGTTGCATCTAACGAAGCGAATAATCTACCAAACTTAAAACAAGAACAGCCGTCGCAGAACCTGGAGGACGACATATTCGAGGAAGGTAGCGATTTTGTGGATGCAGTTAAAGATTATTAGTTATTTGTTAAAATTTCTTTCGATACTTTGTATTTTTTTTTATGAATATAGTAAAAAATAAAGTTTCAAATTTTAAATAAAAATATGATTCTTCAATTTTGATATGTTGGTTTCTACACCTGTGACGAATACATGAAAAATTGTGTCGAATACATAGAAAATAGTGTCGAATACATAGAAAATAGTGTCGAATACATAAAAATTGTGTCGAATACATAAAAATCACAATATCGAATTGATATATAAAAAAACTGCGTTATACATTTTATTATAAAAAAACAAAAGATAAAATATCATGGTGCCTTGTACAAAATAAATAAGTTATCAGTAAATCGAAAAATAAAAATTATTTAGAGTTCTATTTACATCACAAAAATATTTCTCTTCTTCCTAACATCCTAGGTTCTAAGTTAAAATATATCACTGCACTGCAATTTCCTGTTGCGATTGCACTCGAGGGACTCTGAAAATTCCGGCACTTGGGCCCACGTCGAAAGCAACCTAAAAAAATTTTCAATGTACAGCGACGGGCTGGCAAAATTTCAGAAGAGATTTTGAAATAAAAAATTAAGTTAGGCGACAAAGCTGAAACGGAGAAATTACAATAAATAACTTACGAAACTTTCTGGGGCAACTGAAAGTGTATTATATTTTCATAAAGTTGATGCTGAACGGTAGATTCAGAACACTTAGTCTGAAAACGCAAAAAAACAACACGTTACTTTTTTTTTTACATCGAAACTTTATTTCTGAGTATTACCTGAGAATAGGCCAGGAAAAACAGTGCCGAATCCTCGTACATCTCCAGAGAGGGTTGGTGAAGATGGTCCGTGTTTTCTAAAGACAATTTCAGCGCCTAAAAGCAACAAGACGTATAAAATATGTCACAAATTCCACATTTGTACGTACCTCGTTGGTCACACTCACTGCCGATAAATGTTTCAAGTTTCGTAGAGAGGTTTCGTTCGCTTTACCATATGGAAGAACCAAGTTTAGGTTTGACGCGTAATCGCTCAAGCATTTTAAGGCGGAGTGTACGCTGTTGATGGAATCGTCGACTGTCTTATGGTACGGCGATAGGATCTTCCTATCAGATGTCCATAGACTGTCGTAGGGCAGAATCGATGATATTACTGCTTCTGCTATTTCGACCCCTAACCTTCCATAGAGTATAGAGCTGGAAATTTGCACATGCAAAATTAGAATTCTCATCAGATGGAAGTTATACACGAAGCACGAAACATGCAAATTTTGAGATTCTACTCCAAACAAAAGTATTGTTATTGATATAGAGTTGGAAAAGTTTGTTTATGGACGTAAATATGAGAAACCTCTAAAAAACACCATTTCTGTTCGGTCTTTATAAAAAACATCCTAGTAAATTCGGGACTATTCAATTTTTGGTGATCTCGAAATCAAACATTATCTTGTCGATAAAGATCCGTATAAAATCGTACTGCAGAAAAAAGTTGCAATGTATTAGTAAAAACAGTGATTTTCTAAAAGAAACCAAAATTCGAAATTTCAACCAATTGGGTCAACTTTTTGATCTCATTTGACCCAAATTTATTAGTTGATTTCCTGACACAAAATTCAGCCATGATAAATTATGTGTAACATATTTTCCATTTCAAAATGTGTATATTTTCACTTTAGAAATTTAGCTGGAAAAAATATGGTAATGATTTACCACAGCGTCACCCTCTTCTACTCTTCTTTGTTTAACCTAAACTTTAAACTACCTAAAGTTAGTTCAAATACTTCAAATCACGGTCAATTTGACCAAAGTGAACTAATCAAGTGGTAAAACAAATACAGCTATTGTCAGTGTGCACTAGAACTATTTCCATCCTTTATTTTTCGATTTGAGAATAGAGGATGGACATATTCTTAGTCCGACCCGAGTGCAGAAGTACAAATGAATGGAAAACGCTTTTATAGTAGAGTGTATCGTACGTATGTGATCTAAGACCGCTAAAGAAGTCCACAACCTTTCTAATTTCCTTTTAGTGCCGACGTGTAACGGTTAAACTCACAAATCTAGTTCTGACCACCATATGTGATAGAATGAGAGAATTAATTTTATGAAAAGGAACGTTAGTTTGGGGGTTCCCCGTCCACAGTATCCGCAATATTTAGTTCATAATTGCACATTTTTCTTGTGTATGCATATTTTTGCTCGTAATCAGGGTCCCGAGAAAGTATACTAAAAATAAATCTTATTTTAGCGACGTTATAGGTTAAGTTAGTGCTTTAAAATGGGTAAAAGAAAAGGCAAAGGTAGAATAAGATTTGTAGTTTTTGATTCAAACAATTTGCCATCACACTCTGATAGTGATAAGGCGACAAGCAAGACCAGCAATAGAAATTCTAAAAATATTAAGAGTAATAGAAATGATACCATTCCAATTGAAAAGTATTCTGTGACACCTACAAGTGATATTTTTGCATCATCTGCTGATGTACCAATGACTTCTAGTAGTTCTAAAGGAGACGAAAGTACTGATACCTCTACCAAATTATGTGGACCATCGGATGAAGGTGTTTTAGATGAATTTCCGACTATTAAAGATGATAAACAGAACGTTTCAAAATGTGAAAATGAAATAAGTTATGGAAACCATGAGCTGGCAGAAGTCAAAAATGGAATTCAAAATTTATCTGCGAGCTCTCACTCTGAAGATTCGTTCAATAAAAATTCTACACAGTTTGGAAGCAGGGGTAATAATGAATATAGAAATAACAGAAAAAGTTTTAATAACGCAAAACGAAGAGGCGTTAAGGGAATCCCATACCAGGATTCGTCAAATTTTTATGAGGAAACAAACGATGCCGATACGTCAGCCAGGAGGAGACAGCAGGGGACGGGTTATGATCCTCGAACGAATTAATAGAAGATTAATGATGATATAAATATTAATAAATAATAAAGTATATGTTGCGAAACTTTTGGAGAAAATAAAATTTAAAACGCAGAAATGAGTTGTAATATAATTTATTGAAGCTGAATTTTGTGTAGGTGTTTGTCCAAAGGACGTTACAGCTATTAAAAACAAGAAAAAGGAGGCAATTTCCTTGAAACTCTGCGACAACTTTGAATAATTCTGATACGTCATGTTTGTATTTTTTTGTTAGTAATTCTCAGATAATTTTTTTACTTTGTTTTAGATTTTATTTGATTTAATTTCACGAGAATTTATGAAAAAACTTTAGCATCAACTTAAATCAGCTTCATATTTATATATAAAAAAAAAATACTATGGCTAATAATAAAAAATACACAATCGAAAAATAAGTGGTTTATCTTATTCTGCCAATTATTCATAATTAAGTAGTAATTTTGTTTCGAAAGGCTACTAAATTGTTGAAAATACATCTAATGACACAAACCGCTTTTTAATTCGTAATTTATGGATATCACCTTAAGTACTTTAAATATAGATAGACCTGAAGATTTATTTTTAAAGATTAACGATTACACGATATTTGACATTAACAGAAATAAGCATAGAGAATGCCATTTAAAAAAATTCATAAATCACAGTATTTATTAACACATATTTATATTTTTGTTGCGGCTGGTGTTTTACGGTAAAGAAAACATTTTTCAGATCCAACGTTACTTTTAGTGACACGAAAAAAGACATAACGGATGATTAAAATTGTTAAACAGTCATACCTGGGATAGTTATAATGAAAAACGGGATCAGTCAGCAAATTCCGGGGTATTACAACGGTGTGGTCCGACGGGGAGTATGTCACTTTAGGAACATTTTCTAAGGCGTAAGACATCATCGGTTCCTCATGAACCAGATTCGTCAGTTTCTTTTCTTCCAGTTTTCTATTAAAACTTATCGCGTTCTTTACACTCTCAAATAGGTTCGTCTTGATTATCCTCAAACTCGAGAAGTAGCTTTTCAGGAAAGGTTCTTTCTTTGCGTTTTCCGGCACTCCCACTTGTAACCTGAGGGTGGCTAGCTAAAACGGAATACGTTTATCCCGAGGAAACGAAACGATCTAAAGTCGTTACCTTTAATTTTAGATGTCGGTATAACAAGGCGTTATTTTCGAATTTACCAAGTCTGTTTCTCACCACAGTGGCAATGGAATTAAACGTGTTATTGACAACGGAGATTGCTTCGCCAGGAATTGGATTGTCTTTTTCTAAAAAGTTGTTCGTGGCGAGGCCCATGAATTTTCTTACAATGCCGGCGCAGATCTCCCATCTCGGTAAAGGTTTTTCTATACCTAAAATAAATTAGGTACTCCTTTTTAACTAATACTGAGCAATATCGAGTACTGTGGCGGAAAATGTTTCAAAAAAATTAAAATCAACAAAAACTAGTTTTGAATTTACCAAAAAGTTCTGAATTAAAAGTATCCATCGCCGAGGTGTACTTATTAGATAGATACGGAATATACCGTCGAACTAGTGTCCATATTAAATAACCGTTCATGGTTTTTCTGTCGGTCGTTGAAATAATTTGTGCGATATGCCCCAAATACTCTAATGAGGTAACTATGACTTCTGTATTCTCCGTAATATTTGACTCTGGATACATGGCTTGCAGTAGGTCATAAAACGGTATCTATAATTAAAAAAATAAGTTTGGATAGTTTGTACGCAGTAAGATTTTGTACGTACCAGCGTTGTTTCTTTAAGTTCTGATATAGAGACAGAGTTATACATCGCTACGGGATTTTGAAGGTCGATCGTATTAGGCGTAACTTCCGCTATTCTTTTTTCGTAAGAAAACATGTCTGTACCAAACTTGGTGGCTTCGTTCCGAGCGGTACTACTTAAATGGATTATCACGTCCCTGATATATTCTTTGTAAGCCATCTGTACCTAAAATTACGAGAAGTCTAAGAAAAAGACACTTGTAACAAACGTAATGGGTGCTGTATTATGAAAGAAAATCAAATATTTATTGCTTTTACTACTAAATTATCTAGAAAAAAGCATTTGTGATGTTTATATGAACTGGCGTTATTATTTTTGAATTGTCAGTGTTGCGAGAAACAACTACTTCGAGAGCTATATGCCCCTACCGGCATTGAATTATGCTCGCAACACCTAGTGCAACAGCTAGGATCGTTTGTCAGTTTAACCCACCAGGCACAGACCGGTTTCGGACTTATTAGTCCTCATTAGTGTGTCATAGGTGCGACAATCGACAAACGAGTTATTATTTTTACAGAGAATTAACAGTGGAATATTGCAATATCACTCACTCGATCATCTTCGTCTCTGAAGTAGTACTCTTTGTCCGGCAGGCCCAGTCCAGAGGGAGACAACACGATGCTGTTGTGACCGGGCATATTGGGGTTAGGCTCGACGGAAATTTTGAAAAACGGAGACACTCCATATCTGACGTGCAACTGTGTAAAAATTTTGTTCCGGTCAAAATCCGTTTCGCTCCAGTCTCTCAGGACGTACCATCCACCTGAAACAAGAAATAATTCTCAATCACTTCGTGTAAGCAAAAAATTAAGCGTTTTCTTAATGATGAAGCGTTTCTTAATCAAGAAGAAATTTACGTGTTAATTTTATTCTCTCAATAGAGTGATAATCTGTTGGAATTCATCTTTTTAAGCTTAAGGGATTACCTATATTTAGAAATATGATATTAGAGTTTGCAGGTTATTAATTGATTTATTTTTTTGTTTCTACAACGACCTCGGTTAAACAGTGTACCTATCATTAACATGTTTAAGCGGGACTTTGGATATAATGGAGCATATTAGATACTGCTATTATAGACAATCTCTCTTTGCAAGTGATTTTCAAAACTCTTTTTTTTTTTGATGTTACAACAAAGACGAATTTTTGTTTTGTATTGACACAATTTTTTCCTTTGAAGTCTGTAATCTGTATTTAGGGTTTCTGGTCGAGACTTCTCGAAGCGAGAATTCCCGGGAAATCTGGCCTTATTCGAGACGAGAAAAAAGTGTGGAGATATCGAGAAATTTAAAAATCACGCGCGTCTTAAGTTCTTGATTGGAGTTCGTTTCGTTCATGCGTTCAATTCGTTTCTCGACAAATAACTGAGCGGTTAAAGTGGTTTCTCGACTAGCTCATGATTTATTTATTTTAAGTTTTTAAGGCTTTAGTTTACTTTGACGATTCTTATTTTTTTAATGTACCTTGTTATAAGTATGTGTAGAAATTTTATTATAAGCAGATACCTAATGTTGATGTTGATTTTGAAAATATTTAGTTCCTGTTCTTTTAGTTGATTATTTTATTTTTGTTTTGTTAATTAAAACATTGTGATTATAAGTGATAAATTAATAGGAAGAACACAAGCTTGTTTTTTTAAAATTTCTTCGGTTAAATTCCTTATTTACTATTTATTTAATTAAAAGACTGCATGATGAATGATTATTAATAATTATTGGAAGAAATAAGCTACGATTCAAAAACATTGAAATAAACATAAGTATAATGAAAGTGTTTAATATAAAAAACAAGTTAAAGGTTTTTAAGAAGAAGATACTCCAAGTTTAATTTAGTTTTGTTAGTAGAAGTAGAAATATATAAATAATTAATAAAAATACTGAATAAATAATAAATGTTAATGATGATTGTTAAGTATAATAGCATGTTTATATTTCGTATTGCACTATCAAAATTATGACTTTTTTAAGTTTTAGAAATTTCTCGAGAATTTCCGAGTCCCGAAAAAAAAGGATCAATATTAAAAATCATCAGTTGAGTATTTTTAACAGCTAGACCAGTTATTACAAATAATATTGGAAATAAGCTAAATTATAAATCCGGTTTCTATGGGTCAGTCAGTTGGACAGAATAAAATATTTCACCAAATTAACACGTTAATTTTAAGAAAGCTTTCAAAACCACAAAAAAAAAAAAATCAAAACGTAATGGGATTTCCTTTGCCACGAGGAGTTAAATGTCTAGTCAAAAAACGGCTAGATTATGGAATAATATTAATATTTGTTTACTTCTATATCAAAAACTGAAAAAAATAAACAAAAAAATGTCATTGTCTGAAAGACAAATTCTTGTGGTTACTTTAAAACATTATGAATTCTTTTTATATGATTCTTGTTACATACATTTCAGTGTTATCTTTTTTCAAGTTTTAACACTGAAATTAACTATTTAGGGAAAATTTTTTTTTGGTTTTTATTTATTTTTTCTTAAACTATGAAAGACATTTGTTTTATATTTACTATGAAGTGTACGAATGAAAAACTCTATCGATTTTACAAATTATTGTGAAAATAGATCAATCATAGGCGTCCGTAAGGGGTTCTGATAACCCCTATTTTTAATATAATTTCTAGGCCACGGAAAATTTTCAAACTGAATATATTTTTTCTTACATTGCGGTTTATTCTACAGCAAAAAGGTCTGTTACTATTTTTAAATTAAATGCTTGGTTTTTGAGAAAAAGAACTTATATCTCTAAAAGGAAGCCTTTGGAAAGAAAAATTACATTATTTTGACAAGATCTATCAATGGTTAAAGTTCTAATCATAAAAAGTGAATCACCTTGTATAGGTACTGTCATATAAAAAGATGTTATGGTTCGTTTTTTACATGTTTTAGGCACATTATTGAATAATATATAGGGAATATCATCACAAAGTAGTCTCATTTACCTAACATATACTAATTAATTAAATAAGTTTTAATTAATAACGTTTTCAGCAGATACAGGAATGTTATGTAATTATTACCTATATATGTAAATTAAATGTAGAGGCATCTTATACAAAAATAATTTCGCGTCAATAAAACGCCCTTGAAATTACATTAAAATCCGTCAATAATTTCTCAAATCCGAATATTAACAATTATTTATAGTATTACCTTTTTAACGCAAACGGTCGTATATGGCCAATTTAAAAGCGATTTTAACAAAAAACGAAAATTATCAAACCGGACCCAGATGCACAAACGATTAAAAAGAACTCGCAAATGATTTTATGTTATACAACTGGTTCCTGTCCCAATCTCTCATGCAAATAACTAAACGGTAATTTGCACTAAAGTTATTCAAAACGATAAAATGGTGGCAGACATCTAGAACAACCTTGTCAATTTCCAATAAAACAGCGTTATTCTATGCCCACGTAGAGAGATAACCATTATTCTCGATAATGATACTATTTGGCAATATTGGATTTACAAATTTTAGGAAATTTCAAGGTTATTAACAATATTTTATTGACGTTCCGCACTTATCTAACGAGCCTGGTTTGCATATTTAACCGTGAAATATTTATGTTAATAAGCAGGTCATCTAACATAGGCATACCTATACTAAGAGCTGATATATTACAGTACATTTATTGCTACAGCTAATTATTAGCAGACGAAGTGTTGTCGAGGAATAAGATTTGTTGGGTAAAATTTGAAAACCGGTAAAAATGAATCCGGGTGGATGACAACGCGGAGGGGAACTTGTCCAGTAATTGGTTTAGACTAGATGGCCCAATAAATCATTTGAAAAACATTTTAAAAGGAATGGCTGTGGTATAATGCCAAGGATTACAATTTATAGGTGTATTTTCAACTCATATTTACGTAAAGAGGTATTGGGTCACTTGGGCCACCCCCACCACTCAACTTTTAGGTCCCGTGCCTTCGTTTGTTCGACAAATCAGGGCGCAGCGTTCAAAGTGGCGGGGTATTCAAATTAAGGTCGTTTTAGTCTCCATTTAAGAAAAATAAGACATATACAAGGGTTATGTTTGTAATATACTTTTGCCTAATTAGAAATCTAGTCCATATTGGGAATAATGTTTAATACAATTGGCACATTTTTTTTAAATATCTGTTTGGATAATTATCTACTTAAATATCGTTTCAAATCTGCTAACACTTTAATTTAATAAATAGTGTTTCATAATTTTTCAGAAAAAAGCAATATTTGGTAATAATCATCTTTAATTTTATTTAACGTTTTCAAATTTAAATGGATTTATTCGTGTGTTCCATTTGCCTCTTCCATTCCCAGCTTTGCAGACGGTTGTGTTTATAAATAAAGACATAACATTTTGAAATTTGAATATGATAAATAGATCAATTTGGCTAGTTTTTTAATGTTCTAAATCGTGTCAAGTTTATATGAATAACTTTTGACGATTACATAACCTCATATGCATACTGGATCAATATATTTTATTAACCTCTTCAAAAATTAAAAACTTTAAGCATTAACATTTTTAATTTTATAAGGAAACTGAATAAGTTGTTCGTCCTTCACATAGGCTTAGGTTTAACAGAACAAATGAAGCAAAGATTGAACAAACCTTTTATTTGAAAAACAAAAACGGACTTCTGCTGCAAAAATTTTATATTTTGTCAATCAGTTCATTTAAAATGCATAAAAAACTGCACTTTTAAGTCCTCTTTAAAAAATGAATACTAATCTTATTTTTACAAGATTATATTAAGAACTGTTGTTACAATTTTGTTTATTAGAAATATATTGCTATCTAAGGAGGTATAAATTAGTTAAATGTAAGATTCATATAATTGTAAAACTTTTCCTAGCAATTGCAGCTGTCACAAAAATGCTCGTAAACACTGAATTCCTAAGGTAGGTGTGAATAAAACTACTCGTTTAGTAAAAAAACATGTATTTTACATCTATACACATTGAGCTGTCGACATTTTATTCAAAATCGTATTATTTACAACCAGGCAGTGTTTGTTTGGTCTAACCCACGGCTCATTAGACGTACGTAGTTATATTTATACATATTATATCATAATTACCTTGACGTTTCGCAAAATAATTATATTACAATATAACGTTTATAAGTTAATTTACTTAACTACAGCTTAAGATGGTGATCATTTCTTGAGAGCCGGTGGACCGTAGGTGGAGTGAGGAACAAGGGGAGGGGCTACGGTGGTAGTTCCTATGAAACTACCACTTGGGGCTAGCGAACTGATTAAGGGAGAACCGGTACTGAACAGCGAAGACGTCTGTCCTCCGGAGGAAATCAAATTTTGACTGATGTCGGTGTCCTCCACTTGAGGACTGAGAGCAAATCCACTGTTCTGGATTGGGCCCGAGATTCCACCCCCTACGAAGTTGAAGAAAGGCGCTGGGGTGGTTGTGGAGGAAAAGGTAAGACCACTGTTCTGAATTGGACCTGAAATCCCACCGCCTATGAAGCTTAGGAGAGGTGAAGGAGTGGTGGTGGATGAAACGTAGTTAACGATAGGCAGGGTGGGTACTGTGCTAAGAAGGCTGCCTCCATTAATGGTACCAACTACGTTGCCAGAACCTTCGTCGTGGTTGTTTTGTACTTTCGCGATAGCTTCTTCGGCTTCTTGCTGCGTTTTGTACTTGATGAAGTACACCTCGGGTTTAGCTGGAGCTGTCGGAGGGGGTGTTTGGATTTCGATGTTCTGTGTGTCTTCGGCCTTCTTCACCAGCACGTATACGACCGTCTTCTCTTCGTCTTGAGGGGGAGCCGCTATGTTTATCTGAGGTGGGGCAGGGGGAGTTGGTGCTTTGATAAAGATAACCTTAACGTTCTTTTTGGGCGGGGCTACGGGAGCAACGTTGATACGAGTACGCGCTGGTTCTGGATCCTCCGGAGCGGCGTAGAAGTACAGGTGTTTGGAAACCTGCTGGGGTTGGGGTAGGATTCCAGCCGAGACGGTGGCTGAAGATCCCCCGAAAGCGTCACTAATAGATCCACCTGATGTTATGCCGTGGAAGTTGATGCCGCTTCCCAACAAACCGATAGGAGCGGGAGTGGAAAATGCGTTCAGTCCAAAACCTGGGAAATTATACGCCGATCCTAGACCTAATCCAAAACCAGGCGCCAAGGTGGAGACGGTCGGGGCTACGGTAGACGAGAACAAAGTTGGGGCCGGAGTTGTGAACCCACTCAATCCAGAATTGAAGCCGAAGTTGGCCAAGTGAACGTCAGCGTTCAAATTTTCTTGACTTCCGGACGTGACTTGAATATGTGGCGCAGATGTCGAAGAAACGAAACCTGAGCCTAACCCCAGTTGACCAACACTATCCAATCCTCCGGAATTGAAGCTCAGACTAGGTGCCGGGGTGGTGTAACTGAAACCAGAAGCTAATCCCGGCAGCTGAGCGTTCAGGTCCAAGCCAGCGCCACCCACCACGCTTGGTGCAGGGGTTGAGGAGACGATCAAGCCAGAGTCCACGCTTGGGGCCGGGGTAGACGACACGAAACCTGTGTCGATGAAAGGTGCCGCTGTCGTGGAAACGACAACTCCAGGTAACGGGTTGAGAGCGTTAAAGTCCTGGTGCTCGAAGGCGGGTAGGTTCAAGCCGAGGGGGGGCGCTGTGGGCACAGCGTTCAAATAGCGTTCGGTTACGGAGCTCTGGGGCACCCCGTAGCTCGAGGCTGGAACGTTGTACTGATAGCCCGCGAGTTGAGAGGCATCAGCTAGAGCCACAGCAGCTAACGCTGCCAGCTGAAAAAACACGTTACGTTATAATACAGCGTATGTTAGCAAAATGGAAAATGAAGGAATATTTAAAACGGTTTTTCAAGTTTTGTTGTTCTGGGGCTTGGCTATGTCGGGGCAGATCTATTATCACAGTCGATGGAGAACATAGACCACGACATAACAAACCGAAAAACTTTAAATATCAGCATGGGTTGTAACATTCAAAAGGAAAACCCTAAACATAATGTTAAAATCCGTTAATATATCCGGTATTTTTTACGAATTTATTTAAAGTAACTATTCACTAAATTAACACTAAAGTACTAACTATTTTTAACAACAAAGTACTATATCCAAGTTTAATTTAAGATCTAGACAAATTTTGGAACATCAAGAAACAAATAATGGCTAAAACTTGCAATTCACGTAACAAACAAAAGCGTACTAAGATACTTTTTACTTGAATACTTAATTTTTTAAAAAGAGTAAATAAAAAAATATCCTTCCAACTTTTATTGTTGCAAAAAAACTAATTATGAAGTAAATATTTGCCTTTCTTTAACAATTGTTAGCAACCACGTGGTCTAAGACCAATTATACGTATTCAAACAATACCCATATAAAAAAAACAAAACTGCTATTCCTAAATAATCCAACAAAAAAATACACACTAGCACTAGATCACTGTCACGGGGCACTATTTTTTCTGTTACTTACCACCAAAAGCTTCATGATAAAGATAGTTTGGGAGGCGGTCAAAGATTGAAGCTTGATTATACAAAATCTATTTATACCTCGCCCCCACTGTGCTTTATCGAGACATCCTTATAGCAAGGACAAACGCCGTGGTCACAGTTACAGGTTAACATTTAGATGAGAATATAAAAAAAAAACAGCACTGAAATCCTCAGCCTTGCGTAAATCCACGAATCTCAGGCAGGTGCAATTATGGAATCGTTCACCTCTGGGGACAGTAACGCGGTGCCTTTATTTTTATCCGCAGGACCAACGGCCAAGTTCAGGACGAAAGGATGCGTTGCATAATACGCGTATGTCGACATTCCACAAGGAGTTATTCGCAGCGTTAATTACAACTTTTTAATCCAATTATAGATACAGTTTTGACCACAAAGCGGGTTATTCTCGTTGTGGAGTATTTATAGACGCAAAAAAGTTACTGGTTATAAAGATAGATCTATTAATATTCAGATATATATTTAATTGTAAAAGGCGACCACTTAAAATGCAGAAGAATGCTGAATTTCGTATTGATCTTTGTTCAAAATGATTTTATAGATTAGAACAAGAATGAACTGCAGATATATAATATTAATGGCTAGCATGTCTATGATGTTATTCGTTTAACTATTTAGATGTTTTTAATCAAAAATATGATTTGATTTTATAAGAATTTACGAAAATTTTTAGAATTCACTTGAAAATTTTATTAGACTGGCATTTGATTATTTTGAAGTTTCAGTGAACATTGCTTAGAATGTACGGAAACATTTTTTTTCCAAGTCCAATGCGACCTATAACTCCTTGAATTCTGTTTTAATCTACCAAAAATAATCGACTGTCTTGCGAGCATATATTAGCATAAAATATCTAAGAAATATGTCATTAGACTGTATATTTTATTGCAAAATCCACTTTCAAGTGAATGACGTGATTCCCGTGTTATTGAGAATCTACTATTGCTCAATCTTATCGCCACTTAATTAGAACAAAAAGAAATGCACAAACCACAACCACATAATCCGTTTATACCCTGAAAACTTGATGTATACAAATTATAATATAATTCAGATTAACTTTAAAGGTCACAGGTACACCCACTGGAAGAACTAAATGTCAGGTTTTTTCCTTATTATGCCCACATTCTAGAATTGATGACTACTGGACATTGCAATTTGAACAGCTATAGAAACCGAGACTTCCTATAAGTTAAATGATATATGCAAATTTTGATTAAAAAGTAATAAAAATTCAAAAAATATGTTTGTTTTACATTAATTTTACGTTATGGTGAGTGTCCAATAAATTATATTATCTAAAACGACTAGATATATAAAAGTATTGAATTAATCTAAATTTATTATAAAGCAATCTGTGTAGACAAAAAATATCAGTTCTTTCGAGTTCGTCTAATATGACAAATCTATTTGTTAAGCATCAATTTCAAATGAGACTGATTGTGAGATTTTTTAAATACTTGTTGAACATAACCTTAAAATGAGTGCATAGGTCGAATCACATTTTTTTTTATAAAAATCTAAACTGAGCTGAGGAGGTGTTTAGTTAACATCTTGTTAAGAGGAGACCAAAAAGGAAAGGATGTGGGTCTAACAACTCTTTAAATAATGTATATCTGCACGTAGTAATTATAAGGATGATGTTGAATTATTCATTGACAAAGCTCCTGATGTGCTAATTAAAGGGAAAGTTATCTTGATGTCGAAGAAAAGAATGACAGATACGAATATGATGAAAATATTTCAAATATTCGTAAGACATGAAGGTCGCCACCTTTATTATATTACTAGAATTTTAATGAATCCGATAAACTGTGTCCACATTTTAAAGAAGAGTAACCTCAGCTATCAGCCGAAAAATATAACTTCATAAATATATAAGTTGTGCAAGCATAATCATCTTACAGATGTCTAAGAATAGACGTCAGCAAGAGTAGTAGGATATATTTTACATTTCACTATCATAAAATACATTTTTTTGGAAATTTCTAGAAAACACTTGGAAATGCAGAAAAATGTCTCAGTTACAGAGAAGAATCTATATTTAATTAACTATACTTCAGTAATTTACTTATTAAATCCGTAAAATGTGGAAAATACGTAAATACGAGGACATTGAAATTATGACAAATTAACATATTTTGACGAGAATTCTGCTGATTCAAATACCGATTTGACACATAAACCTTGTCCGGTACAAATTGTACGTTAGTCATTGATATTAATAAATATATAACCAGTTAATAAGAATGACTGTGTTAATATTTGCTAAGGTTAATGTTTGCTCATGAGGCTCCAAATCTAAATACATTTTAATTTCGAATATAATAGGAAACAAAGAACCGGTTCAATTTTTATTATTCATACACCAAAGTGTAAAAAATTTGCAGTTAATTTCAGAATGTGAAGCAGATGTAACAAATAATCGTTTGAAAAATGTAAATGTCTTATTAAATTGCAAAAATTGAATCATCATTCATTCATAGATCTTTTTATTTGTACTTTTCTTACGTAGAAAGACTTTGGAAACAATGTAATTTGAATGATAACGGATTTCTGCAAAATAGGGCCTAGTATTATTAAAATACTAAATCGAAAATTCAAAAAAGTGTCAAATTATATTTTAAACATTAGTATAATGTATAAATTGAGACCTTTTTCTTCTTTCTAACTAATGGGATTCTGGGAAACAACTACTCTGCGGATTACAGCCCCGTTCAGCACTGAATTAATTTGTAGGTTATATCTCACCCACAATCTATTATTTCATTTATGACATTATTGAAAATCTAGTACTCAATTCTATTCAACCTATTTCATAAAATTTCTTCATTTGCCAATATTACTTTTTAAAAAACAACAAATATTAGAAAAAATACATTTATTTGTCACCGTATTTGCTTACACTATAAAACTAGTAATACTTAAAATAGAAGACAACATAATGGGTTATGTACAATGAATGGTACCTTTTTACACGTATAGACGTTCCAAAATGAAAGGAACTACGTAATAAGTTTAAAAAATATAGGCAAAGCATATTATACTATGTTGTTGGGAACAATTTCGTTTAGATTTACTGGATTTTGGAACGTCTAATAATCACATTTCGATTTAAACTGCCGATAAAGATTAATATGGCCCACTTTGACCTGGTGGACCATACTGTGTGGAAGGTCTTCCACCGCCAGTGGTAATCGATGCTGAACTTGTTCCCGTCGTGATTCCAATAGTACCACCGCCTCCTCCAATAGTGCCACCGCCGCCTCCAATGGTACCGCCGCCACCTATCAGAGAGCCCCCACCTCCTACCAGAGTACCGCCGCCTCCAAGAGCATCGCCACCTCCAATGGTACCACCGCCTCCAATAACGCCACCTCCCCCAATTGTACCGCCTCCTCCAATAATGCCACCTCCTCCAATAGTACCGCCTCCCCCAACGGTACCACCAGTAGCCTCCGTCTTGGATTTATATCGAATGAAGTACACCTCTGGCTTGGAAGGTTGAGTGGGTGCCGCTGTGGGTATGGTGATGTCTCCAGCTTCTTCTGGTCTCTTCACTAGAACGTAAATCAAGGTCTTTTCTTCGTTCTGAGCTTGCAGAGGAATAGTGGGAGCGGTTGCATCAGGAGCTGACGGGGCCTTGATGAAGATGATCTTGTAATGCTTGGTGGCTTGGCCAGCGGAAAGCGGTCTCCGAGGTCTTACATCCTCTGGCTCTGGGGGAGCTACGTGGACGTAGATGTGTTTTTGGACCAGGATACCTCCACCACCTCCTCCACCAACAATTCCACCTCCACCTCCTCCACCAACAAGTCCGCTTCCTCCACTAACAACTCCGCCTCCAACAAGACCACCTCCCCCTCCTCCGCTAATGAATCCGCCATCGATAGGTCCTCTTCCACTACCACCTCCAAAACCGCCGCTTCCAATTCCCCCAAGGCCTCCGATTCCACTAAAACTTCCCCCACCTACGCCCCCAAAGCCTCCTGTCGAGATACCACCAAATCCACCCCCGATGGTTCCCCTTCCGCCCGCGGACCCGCCTGAGGGTACCCCATAGCTGCCGCTTGGTGGTGAAGGTGCGGGGTAGTTGTACTGGGGTCGACCTTGCACCAAGGCGATGATAGTGGCACTCACCTATTCGGATAAAAGAAAATGTTAGGTACCAAAGCAATTCTTTTTGGTGTTAGCGCATGAAACATTTTTCCTACTTTTACTTTCATGGCAATTAAGGTCAACTGAGATACTGAGTAGGTACTACTTATAAACTTTGAACGCGAATTACTAAAAAAAATAGAAGGGCAAAAAAATTGAAAAAATAAAGGTTACACCTTCGATGTATTGTAAATTGTCTTTATTTGTATGGATATTACTGATGTATTTAAAATTAAATATAAAACTAAACGTTTCCTTATAAACCATACAAAGTTCAAACAATAAGAACTTTATTGACCTATAGTTCCACTCCTACATATAACTATATTTTTTATAATGTTGTGGGTGACTTATGCAACAAACATACTAATACCTTCGAACCGCGATCTTTTTACAACAAATTAATTTTCATAAATGTTTAATGAAACATAGTGTTTATAGAATAATCCATGTAATATACAAGGTGTTCTCTTCTCAAGTAAGATGTCTAGTGTAACCTTTTTACACCTACCAGCCACCTTGAATGAGGTTTATTAGGTAATTGTCTTACTGGAATCTTGTTACTTTCAAATATATATCAATAAAATGAGTAAATAAGTAAATAAAACTGATAAATTATGGATAAAAAGGTCAATAATATCAGGAAATACTGCGACACCTGCTTAGCAATTATAATAGGAATTTGCTTACTGAAACACGCATATAATTTATAATTATTTAAAATGTACCACCAAAGTCGTTTTAAATATCTCATGTAGCATGAGAATATGTTGGACTAAAATATAGTCACAGCTTATAATTTTATTTTTAAAAATTATTTATCACTGACAATCCAAAAAGTCAACTAAACAGTTTGAGATTATAATAATTTGTTTATGTATACAGGGTGTTCATTAACTACTTCGAAAATTTGATGGGGCGATTATTTGAATGACTTTAAGTCAAAAACGTTATATGAACGTGCATCCAAAAATTAGTAGTTTTTGTGATATAGGATACTGAAATTTAAAAAAAAAATCATCTTTGCTAAGGTATCTCTGAAGACGTTTGGTGCAGAATGATGAAACTTAGGCTGATGCCTCATCTAATTAAATGTAAAAATACACTGAATTCAAATCAAACGTTTATAGAACTAATTTAGAAAAAGTGACATTTTTTGAATTTCCATATCCTGGTTTCGAAAACTTCGACTCGCGGGCCTTTTCGTTTAAAACCACAAAAAGAGTCACTTACAAATTGTCGACGTATTTAATTAACATCTATATGTAATAAAATTATTAACGTTCTTTTTTCTACGCCAAAAAAAAATATTTACTTTGGTTATAATAAATTTTTGATAAGTACTTTTTTTCATAGATTGCAATAAATTTTCAGATCCAGATATGTGAGATATTTTGATCTAAACTAATGCAAAAAATTAAAGGATCAAAAGACTTTCCGACATTTTTCCGTGATTTTTGAAAAAAATGCGATGGTTTAGCTGAAAATTTTTTTTTCCGAATCCAAAAAAAAAAATATGTAAAATTTTTTTGTCGCGCTGGTTCTAAAAACTAGAATCTTAGAGCTTCAAAATACTTTTTTTTAATTTCCGATACGACCATTTTTCACCTAAATAATAATATATAATAATACAGTCTGTCAAAAATCATGGAAAAATTTCGGAAATTCTTTAATTTTTTTGCATTAGTTTATATTCAACAAAAATTAATTGAAATTGAAAAATAATTTCCTGTTATAATTGTAAATATTTTTTTCACATAGTACTAAATGATACTAAATATTGATGCATGGTATTTTGAAATAAAAACTCACTTTTTAAATTTTATTGTTGATGTAGAAAATACTAACAAATTAAACCGCTATTTTAACACACATAAATAAGCAATTGTGATTGTAATTACAATTACATTTGGTGTTTAAGTTTTTTTTTAATTATCAGAAAAAGTAAAATTTGTACGCCAAATTTAATGAAAAATTGTTTTGTTGCGAAAAAATTCTTTCAAAATATATCTAACTTTTTCGCTTCAGTCGTAGATGTAGAACACCTTAAAAATAAATCCAGATCCAGTAACTACAAAATATGTGAGTGTTTAAAAACAAATTTTAGCACCATCAGTGATTTAGTAGTGTTGTTCTAACGAATATGTTTTTCATAAAAAAATTGGAAGTTCCTTGAGCATCGAAATCGAAAACGAGTATCCACATATTATGTAAATCACCCCATTATTATTAAAATATACACCAGTCCAAGGTGATGATACCAAAACCGGCCGGCGGGCGGCGTAAACTGAGATACAGAAATTTATTCAAAACTGAACTTTCACTGGTCAACCGTCGGCGTGTTTCCATTGCGCGGACACCAACACCCTTACCGTGGAAAATCGACTTAATTTTTTTTTGTGCAGGTACTCACCACTACGAACAACTTCATATTATACACAACAATTGGAAAGCGTATGGTGCATGAAGATGCTGCGGCAGATCTTTTATAGCATATCTCGTATAATGTAACAGGCCCCTCCAAAGAAAATACATCTTCCTATGTATTACTTCTAACATTTAGATAAGTGAAATTAGGGTCACAACCTCTGAGGATGTGTCGGTGGGCCCAAGTGAGGCTGGCAAATACGCCCGGGGCCATTTTTTTCGCACAATGTATGCTATTGACAATGGACAAACAGCTGATTGCTTCAATACTTGTTATAATCATAGGCGATTATTTTTAAATGTCAGGTAGGACGTTGGTAAATTCTTCTCAAGACTAGGTGTGTGTGGATTTCCTTTTTCGTCAAATTTCAATGCTGCAAAGCGACACCGGATGAAACCACAAGTGGTTCCAATATTTTAGACATCGGTATAATACGATGGTTGCACAACGGTGCTAAATAAATTTAATAACAATGTAATAGGTAGGCATTACGGATTTATTTATTGTTGATTTGTCAATACACCTTATCTATCATACCTATTTCATTTTCAAAGATTCTAAGTGAAATTATTTGTGGGTTAAGCAAATAATTTACAAAAGACTAACAAGTTTCAATATAAATAATAAATATTCGTATAAAACTATAACCAATATTTAATAGAGACCATTCTCACGAAATTGTGTTTTCTACAAAGAGAAAAGATATTAAACATTTAGTACTTGAACAATATATGTACGGCTATTTTCAAGTAGGCCGGATAATGACGAACAAAATGCTGGTCGAAACGTTTTTAAATCTTTCTTTTTTTAAGCTGATACTTTATTCGAATGCAGCGGAATATGCAAAGTGTGGCTATTTCGTAGATTATATGTAATATTATATTAGTAGATTACTTCTAGCAATCACTTCTCAAGAAATAAGCAAAGGAAAAATACACACCACTTTTTGAAAATTTTGAAAGTTTTCGTAAGCTTTCTTACATACTCTACATTCTTCTTTTTTAATTGAATTTCATTCGATTCAGAAACATTCATATTTTTTTCTTCTCGATTAATACTTATTTGCGTATTTTCTAGTAACAAATAACATGGAAAAAATAAATAGAAACAACAATCGTTTGCTCACAACAACAAAAATGATTTATCGTGTCATTAAATTGACTAATTACATGTTTACTGGATGATCCAACCATAAATACACATTATCCAGGTATATTAGATTGCATTTCTGTTAATATTGAACACACCTGCAACATGTTACTGTAATATTTTAAGAAATGAAGAGCTCTTCGCAAATTATAAGCGCAATCATCCCGAACTGTGTCAAGAGCAAGAGTATCGGCTGCATTTGCAAATTGCAGCTACATATTCGCCACAAGATCACCTACAGTTCTATACTAGGCAACTTGTAGGATTATATTCTCTTCTATTCTTTTAGTTCTAATTATATACAAGGTGTAGTGTTTAAAATTAGAACCCACATTCTTTATAAAATGAAGAAAAACCATATAATTATTTTAAAGCAATCTAGAAATAATTAGTACATGTAAGGAGCATCAGCTTCTTGTACTTGCCAGAATGAAGTAAACATGGCAAGCCATAAGTTTTTGTTTGAAGCAATTCGTATATATAAGTAAGGAGCATCGGCTTCTTGTAACTGCCAGAGTGAAAATGAAGTTAACAGGGCAAGCCATAAGTTTTTGTTTGAAGCAATTCGCATATATAAGTAGGAGCATCGGCTTCTTGTACCTTGTGTTTAATGTCGAACATTGCTGACACATTTTTATGTTATGTGGCACCTATTTTGACATTTTTAATAAAGTCTTTCGTTTGGTTTTGTTTTTGTGCAAGGCATAAAGCTCTTACAGTTATTGTTTTATGTATTTTGTGTTTAAATATATTAAAATAATTATATCATAAATATTAAAAATAATAAATAAAATTTAAATAATGATAAAAATGCAATTGTGTTTATATACTCGATTTTTTGTTAAAAAATGCCTTTTTCCCTTAAAAAGTCCCTCGCTCAGAATCGTATTAACGATTTTTTTTTAAATCAATAATTAAAGCTTAATTTCTTCAAGTTTTTGATATAAGACAGTTTTATTACATACTCTTGGGAACTTAGTTAAGTTAAAAATAAACGTAAAGCATGCATATGGCTTTACAGAAATATAGATTCATTGTCACATTGTATTATTTGCTATCCTCCATTGTTTGTGAAATAATTTGCAGATAAAAAAATTGGAAGTATTTTAAAATTGTCAAACCCAAACAATTGTCAAAATAAGAAAAAATCCTGAAATTATATATTTTTTATATTCACTTATTTAAAAGACAAAATAACAAATGGGTCAAAAATGGTTGTTTTTCTGGGTCAAAATGTACAACTTCAAGTTCTGATCTTAAATAAGTATGACATCTTACACCAAGAAGATGGAGCAAAAGTACACTACCGTTTTTCAAACAGAAATAATCAAATTTGTAATAAAAAGATACATACATTGCCACCCAAACTTGGAGCAAATAACAATAGCCACAGACGCAAAAAGTCATTCACTTCTGTTTGCTAATAGTGTTCATTTATTAATTAAGGTCACCATGATTCTGTTTGTTTTACTCAACTTTATAGTAACTTCTTGAGATTATGAATTTCGTCACATGTTAACTAATATCTACTCGAAAACCAGAATAATAATCGAAACATATGCTCATCCTCCGAATATTTAAAGAACAAACAAACAAATAACTCTTAAGGATATACACGGAATAACATTACATTTTTAATAAATTATTTGCTCATTGAAAAGTATAAAGCGAATCATTAATTCAGAAATTGAATAGAAATCGAGATGGAAAGACATGTCCTGTCACTGTTATAATATGTAGTAGTAATCATTTTCTAATTAAAATTAACAAACTGATATTTTTACAAAAAAATACATCAGATTCCAAACAAAAACAATTTCTTTTTAGGAAAATTGTAGCTAATCTCATTTTATTAAGAAGTGCATTAAAATGATAGAAGAAAAGTTTGTAATATTCCCCACAAAATAGTTAATTTTTGAATAAAGAATTGTACAAAATTGATAGATTAAGAAATTGGAGTGAACACTTGATTCATCTCTAGGAATTACCATAATTTTTAAACCACGAATTTGAAGGTCCTTTCGACTATTCAGAGATTTAATTTATTCATACTACAGGTTTTTCTGCAGACACGCCTTAAATTCTACGACCTTATCTGGATACGTCCTTTTATTTTCTGAAGTTAGCATAGAAGATCTTTATCAAGTATGATTTATATAATCTTCAAATTGGCTTCAAATTAATAGCAAAGCCAACATTAACAATATTACATTGGTTTAGAAGAATTTTTACAAAATATTCGACAAAACAGGAAAGGTACATTCTGATGTTTGTTTGTACATGGGTGCCTATGATTTCCGTACTCTTTCACAGCGAAAAATATTTCTAGAGTTTAGAAGGATTTTCCTTTTCTATCATTGTCTTACTAAAAGCGCGATTTATTGTCTATAAAACGACTACAATGAGAATTTTACTGTTTACTGCTGTGGTAAGTCATAAAATAAATGTAGCTTATTTCAGCGTGCATCGATCTTAGAAAATGAAATAAATAACGAATATGAAATATTGGCATTGTCATTGTCTGATTAGAATCTGTCTATAAATGTCGATAAAAATAATGAGTGTTTCCCCAAAAATGATATATCTTGTATTATGTATGCATGGAAAATAAAGTATCATTTGCTTTTATTTCGATTTCGATACCGCGAAACATTCTTCGATAATAACTTGGGTTAAATCAAATTTAGTAAAGCGTGCTATTATTTAATGGCAATGTAACTTTCCATAAATAAAAGAGAGAAAAAAATCGTGTTTAGTTTTACTACAAACAATAAGCTGAATAAATTACCATTAATAGTCGTCAGGTATATATTAAAGCATAATGAGTTCATAATTTTTTCTTTCTAGTTCTTACCAAAATATCTGCAATAATCATATTGTTTCTCTTACGAAGCTACCGTCTATTTCTTGAATTTAATCGTACCTTCCAAAACAGGTGGATGAAAGAGGGGCACTATAGAGTGTTGCAAAGTTTACCTGATTTAAGTCAACAACATTTTGACCCAAAAATATTAAATAACAATTTAACAATGTTACTCAAAGCCAGAATCTTGAACTAGATCTTTCTCTTTCAATGCTAAATTTGATATCAATCCCAATTTGATTAAAGTAACTTATTTAAACACATTATTTATTTACAATCTTCCTTTTCTGCGTCTTACAGTGCATTGCGCCAGTATTGGCTAATTATAGATAAAATATTTAATTAGGCATTTATTTTAATTATGACCCCAAGAAGTTTTCCTTGATACAAAAATTTAGGCGTGCTATGGAAACGACTCCGTAATGAGATAACTACGTGAATATTTATAAAGGTGAAAGCAAAATTCGAGACATCTTTAAACGTCAAAGAATATTGACAAGTAAATGCGTATATTTTAAGGGAAATTGTGAGAGGTATATAATTTCCTTGTGCCTATTATAGAGGGTGTGCCTCGAGAATACATAACTATTATAATATCAAGTCCGGCTTTGTTTCTATGTAGACATTTTTAAAATCTTATATTACGCCATTAGTTTTATTTTGTGTCTTCCATCAGAAGTGGGATTCTTGATAGTTGATACCGCATAAAACAATGCACTGTCAAGATTTTAAAGTTTCATGACTAGGCAGAAAAGATATCTAGTATGTTTGTCTACCGACAAATAAAGTATCAAACGAGTTCGACAAATATTTCTTTGCGGATATCATTAGTTATACCTGTTCATAGAGGTAATTCATTTAGCGATTTCATTCAGAAATCGAGGTTTCAAATACGTACATCCAATTCAGAGGCTGGTTGCATAATATAACTGCGGTGAATGAAACTAGCCAAATAATTGTAGGTATATCTCACATGCTCGTATTTTGAATTTATATAAAATTGCTGATGTAAGGCAATCTCTAAACAAAAGACAATATAAAATTTGCATTGATTAATTAAGTTCTAGCCAATTAATAATAAGTACATTGTGTGTTTCTTATAGATTGCATAAAATCTGAGAAATACAGAGTAGATTAAGAAAATAACATTATTTTGAATAGTATATTTCACTATTTGAGTATGTGAGAAAATATAAAATGACACCTTGTTTCTATTTATTTGTGGATTAACTGAGATACCACATACTTTCAGATTATATCTCACCCACACTCAGTGAAAGTAAATTATGAAAAAATGTACACATGTAGATGTAGAAACTTTTATTTCGTCTTTAATTCAGACTTATTTTTGAATGTATATAGAAGAAATTTTCAATTAAGGAGGTATATCGGGTTTACTCGCAATCTTTATATCTAAAAAATTAGGTATAGTTGCACAACTTTTGTAACATTACCTACTAAAATAAAGATGAAAAACACGAACAGTGAGTAATAATGTAATTTCTATCACAGAACCTTCAAAATTGCATCCAACATTTTCTCTGACTTGGACGAGAGATGGGCGCGAGTGTCATTTCATTTCTTTAGAACTAAATTAACATAATTCTCGTTGTTTTACCAGTTGAAATGATTTACGGATTTTAAATAAAGGATACAAATCTTCGCGAGGATAATACGATATATTTACCTATAATTATTATATTGTACATAGTTTACACACAATACATTTTTGAACGCGTACGCATCTTTACCCGAATTTGATGCGCAATATCTCCGATGTTCGAGGTCTGTAGGTTCGCAGTGTGTACAACTGCTAGTCAATTATTAGCGCTGTTGCCGCATCTACATAGTCTTTATGCGTTTATTAAATATAATTTAAAACTACTTACATATGATATTTTTATGTTGTTAATTACTCAATATGTATGCTATGTGCATATGAGTAGATTTCTTTGCTATATAGATGTTTATCGCAAATAATTTCGATATAATTTAATTTTTTTCAAATTGGCAGCGGCTTTAGTCACATAAGAAAAGCATAGGACCCCCCCTGCGCTCCTCACTTCCCTCGGACCCCGATATACCTCCTTAAACAACATAAAAGAAGTTCACTATTAATTTTTAATGTAAAAGGGGGATTTTGTGTCTAAAATTTTGACGAAAATATCAGGTTACATACACAAATATTAACTCATCCCAAGTGTTTAATTTATAACAGGATATTCTATATTTTAAAACGTTATTTATTTATTTAACAGTATTTTACGAGGACCTAAATGTATTTAAATAATTTACGTAACAATTTAAAAATACCACGTGTGATGGTAATCGAATAAGAGGAATTTGCGTAGAGTAAAATCGAAGACATTCATTATCATTTTTTACAAATGAATTATAGGAAATGTCAACGGTTCCTTTAAAAAAATTGTAAACTAGCCAACAGACGCAATGATGTGGGTGTGAATATATGATTAGATCGTACTGTATTCGTGTATACAATTTTTTAAATTCGAAAATTGCTTAAAATAATCCAAGGAGTCGTATCCTGAATTCTTACGTACTTAAACGTTACACCGTATCGTATACTTACTTGTTAATGTAAATTGCACGGTTTGGCATCTGTTAAATGATCAACACAAGACAAATACATGTAAGTTTCCGTCTTAATTTCACGGTTTATGCGACAAATTAATTTTACTTCATATTGATTTGTTCCTCTAATAATATATTGTAAAAACGATGAAAGCAGTCGTGTAAAGTCTGTACGACAGTACATATTTGAAAAATCGTGATTTTCACGCACCTATCTGTGTTTACAAGCGGTGAAAGCACAATTGCAATTGCGTAACATTTGTCTCTTCCTATGTACACAATGGAGATTTTGAGAAATATTTTACGACGTGCTTTTGTAATTTATTATGATTAATTGTCGATTCTTGTCGTGACGAAAGGGTTGAGCAGATTTAAGCAACACCGGAATGTTACTTAACTTTTGGTACACGAACATTTATCAGTTTTCAAGGTATCGAGTGTTATTAGTGTTAATAGATTATAACTAGAACAAATAAACAAATTAACGAAATCTGCAGATGGGATTTTTCATAATCATAATGTAGTTATGTCAAACAATTATTTCAGTTTTGTTACACTCAATTCTGTTTTTAAAATAGTTTTAGGAATAGTCAAAAAAAAAATAAGAGACATACAGGGTGATTCACAAATGGTGACCAAAAATGGTATTCTTTAGTGAATCGCATTCTTTGGTGAATTTTAAGTCTTTCGTATAAAGTTTTTATCTTCGTTAAAAAGATACAGGGTGTTAAACTTCAAAAATTTTGGTTTGTTGGGTTGGAGTTAATACCACTATAAAATATCATGGTAAGACCCAAATTGTCTGTTACAGCTGCCGTACTGGGTATTTTTATATTACTTACTTAATTTTTGTGTTCCATGTGTGCAATACTCCGTTATGTGTGATCGACAATGAAGAAATTCCATTGTTTTAATTTGGCAGAAAAATGTACCTAAATATTCTCTCCGGATTATGGAAGTGGAAAAAATTGTGGATAACTGTAGGCAAGAAACTATACTATAGACAAAACTATAGACAAGAAAAATAATAAAATAGGGCATGTTCAATGAGCATTTAAATTAAAAAAACTATTTACATGCAGACTAATTTTTCATTTCCAAAGCCTCCTAGATTTTTAAACAAACGGAAATTTCATAAATTTAAAACATATGAATTATATAAATTTCAATCGAATCGTGTATCCAAAAAATAAGTTCTGGTTCTTAGTGGGCAGTACTCTATTTACTATTTTAGTAAAAATTTTGCGACTATTCAGAATATACGCCATGTATTGTTAATAGAGATGCAGAAGTAAAGCTATAGGCAACACTTAACACACAGAAGTTCGGCATACGTGTATACCTTACGTATTCAGGAGGTATTAAATATATATCGAACAGGACCGGGTTTAAGTTTTTTCAAAATTTTGATTTTTTTTTTCAATGTTTGACGAGTATTTAAAGTGAAATTGTGAGAAAAATAACGCAATTTTTTTCCATCTTAACCATGATTAATTGTGTTTAAGGATTTAAGGATCCTTTAATTTTTTATAAAATGATTCAGGAAAGGAAAACGCTTCCACCGATCGATTTCAAAATTTACAGGCCCAATGGGCATGTATTGAGCTAAAAAAAAATCTACAAATATTGGTACTTTTCGCAGTATTCGCAAAGTAGTCGTTGATTTTCCAAAACGGCAGAAAAAGTATTTTTTGCACTAATACTGAGTATAAAAAAAGGTGGGTTTTCGCTCAATAGCCGAAATCTCGATGAGAAATAATCAGACAGAAAATAAAAAAATAAAATAAACTGAAGCTGAGGAATTGGGCTAAATGCCAGAAGCCAGAAAAAAAATTGTGAGCCTTCGGAGTTTTGAAAAACAAATTTTTGCAAAATTTTTGCGTTGCATGATTTCTTTTTATTGCGCCGAAAGGGATGCTCTAAAAAGATGCTTCTTTTGTTTTCTCGATAAACCATTATTCAGGAAGTTACAGTTTTTCAAAAATCACTAAAAAAAATTGTTTTTTGCTCCCTTAATATTTGTGCTGAGTGTAATTGAAATCGACATTTACAACTCTCTTGGAATTACTACCTCTTAGTACTAATACCTCTTAGTGACCCTTTTTTATATTTCAAAATAATGGGGTACTTCGTTCGAGATCACTTTTAATTTTTTCCTCTACAAGATCAAGAAAGCAGTATTTTTTTAAATTTTCAAAAATGTTTGACATTTTGTCATAAGTTTACTAATAAAAAAACTTTCCCCTCCTCAGGTCACAATCATGGGACACTTCAAGTTTGAACGATTGTAAATGTTTATAGTTACTCACATAGCCTTCGACATAGAGAGCAAAATATTGAAGATAACTATCTCTTCATTTTTAATTAAACCTGTTAAGTTTGAATCCGAAATCGAATTAAAAAAACACCTGAACACTAAATTAGAACATAAAATCAACAGCTACGACGTCACGAAGTATACTTTCATTTTTTATTATTTATAGCCGGCAAGTTCCATCGACAAACACTTAATTTTTTCTGTAAAATACAATTTAGTATTATCTTTGTAATATATTAATTTAATTACCTTGCCAAACCTCCAGTGTTAACTACTTTCGTCCATTTATAGTTATTTATATATTCATTCCGAAATTTCTCGATGTGTCCCACTAAACGTTGCATTCGTGTCTTGTTCACAATAGTGTACCGTGTTTTTATTCACTCGGTTTCAGGAATAAATTAATAAATTATAATTTGTAAAAAAAATAGCACTGTTGAGCTTGCGTGAAAGTTGCCAAAGTATAATTGGGTTAGTGGACCAATACTTTTTACTTAGATAAATTTAATCTGTTATTTTTTGCTTCTTTTTTTTTATTCTTAAATTCATGAATATAGACTATCGTCAGATCGTCATATGTGCTACATAAAAACTAATTCTTAAAAGTGGTCCACCTTCAAATAATGCATTAAAAACACAAGCACAAAAAAAATTACCGACATTTAGTTAATATAGTTTCCTCTAATAGCCGATCAGGTTCATGTTAATTTAATTTAATTATTACCGACACCTTTCTTTGAAATAATAAAAATGTTTCTACAAAAATACATTTATTGTCACCGTATTTGCTAGAAAAATAAAATAAAAAAATACATAACCTTAAAACTAAAATGGACTATGTACAACGAAATATGGGGCTGTCGAATCCCGCAAGTCTATATCGCACCCAGACGGCTATACAGATCCACCGTCCAGATTTACCCGTATGGATTTTCGGCACAGGTTCTAGTACGGACCTCCGCTGACGTGACCTGGGGGACCGTAGCTCGTCGAAAGACTTGCACTGCCAGAACTGACGCTGGATATAGCGCTACTGTGACTAGAACCACCGGAGATAGCCAAACCTCCATCCAGGGAGCCGCCGCTGCTGAAGGAACCGCCAGAAATTCCTGAACCTCCGGAGAGAACGGCACCGCCATCGAGAGAGACTGTTCCGTGGGATCCTCCACCAAGGGAAATGCCTGCACCAAGTCCAGCACCGGAGATACCTCCGCCACCAATCGCTCCTCCAGAGAATCCTCCGCCACCAATCGCTCCTCCAGAGAATCCTCCGGAAGCGGCCTCTTTCTGGGTCTTGTAACGGATGAAGTAAACCTCGGGTTTGGAGGGTTGGGTTGGCGCGACGGTTGGGATGTGGATCTCTGGTTGCTCGTCGGGTTTCTTCACCAAGACGTAGACAAGAGTCTTCTCTTCGTTCTGAGGCTGCAATGGGATGGTTGGAACGGTGGGGGTTGGAGGAGTTGGTGCCTTAATGAAGATGATCTTGTAATGCTTCTGTGGAGGCGCTACGTGGATGGGCCTTGGAGCGTGGACCTCTTCTGGTTCTGGAGGAGGAACGTGTACGTAGATGTGTTTCTGGACGAGGGTGCTTCCAGCACCACCGCCACCACCAAATCCACCGGACGCGAATCCACCGGAAGACGCGAACCCTCCACCGGTGCTGAAACCTGAGGAGAACGCCGACGAGCTGGAGGAACCAGAGGAGAAGCTGCCTCCTAAGCTGCCACCTACGAGGGAGATACCATGTCCACCTCCCAAACCAGCAGTTCCGAGGGAGATACCTTGTCCACCTCCCAAACCGGCACCTCCGAGGGAGATACCTTGTCCACCTCCCAAACCAGCACCTCCGAGGGAGATACCTTGTCCACCTCCCAAACCAGCACCTCCGAAGGAGATACCGTGTCCCCCGCCTCCTAGTGAAACACCACCGCCGGACACGCTCAAGGCCCCGCCAAGGCTGGAACCATGTCCTCCGATGCTAAGAGTGCCGATGCTGCCACCAGATGGAGCTCCGTAGCTCGACGAGGGTGCTGGGTAACTGTAGCCTACTGGGGGTTCAGGTCTAGCTTGGGTCAATACTGCCAAGGTGGCAATTAACTGTAATGAAAGACAAAAGAACAACTGCTAAATTTAGAAGTATTTTTTGTTAAATGTAAGAGTAGATCAGTGGTTCTCAATCAGTGGTATTCAAGTGAAAAGTTGTACTTTGCAAGATTTTATTTAATTAAGTTTTTAAATGATTTGAAACTAATTAAGAAAAGAACTAAGATTATACACCGGCGTTATCAGTTTATTGCCGTGGACATAAAAAAATCTTGAACGGAACATTTTTGCATTTAAAGATTGATTGATTTTAAGGTAAAAAAATGCTTTGACGTCCTGTATCTTAAAAACAAAAGACGATAAAGTCTTGGTGTATACAAAAACAAAGTCGTATTTTTTTAGCTTACACCAAATTTCCTTGAAATATTTTGAAAAATAACGGAATTATCGTAAATATTAAAAATAATATACATATTTTTTGAAAGTCTGTAACTTTTTACGAAAGCCAATTGATTTCAATATTTTTAAAATGTGTACTATGTTTGAAGTAGCATTTTCGAACACCCTGTACTAGCGCAGAAAAATTTGGAAATTTTCGAGGTTGTATCCGGAACGTAACAAGTTGAGAACTGCTGGACGAGACGTTTTATAATGTTTGTACATTTGTTATTGGACACTGCGTAATAAAACATTTCGTAAGGTCCAGTTCCAAGTTTTCCGGAACGTCGAAAATCAACACTTTTCACTTTCCAGCACTGGGGGCACAAAAGTCACTACCGGATACTTACCACGAAGGTCTTCATGGTTTCTTCTCGAGTAACGGTCGTTACCCAAGGGAGACGGACAAATTAATCGATACACTTCCGAAATCCGCCTATGGTTTTATAGCACATCTTTTTCCCCACTAGCGTGTCACGCGGGTGAGTACCGACGTATTCTTGTAAAATTTGGTGGTGAAAAACCGGGTCACATCCTCTCACCGGGGCCCGGCGGCGTTGACCGCGGATCTGTATCATTCAAAAGGATGGTCCGAAGAAAGTGACTCCGACGGCGACGGCGGCCACTCGCCGATAGTCCAGTCATTGCGCCCGAAAAGTCGCCCCGACTAAAATAAATTTTCTTTTATACTGTTTTTCGGTATTGATAACATACGCGACTTATTTATTTTTTACTTCGAATAATACTGCAAGAATAATTTAAAAAAACGACAAAGTATATTCTCACGGTGCTTAGGAGATCTTAATTATGTAATGTGGTTTCGACAAGATAATTTAATTAATTTAACAACGTGGGAAATAAAGGTAACTACTTCCAAATTTATATTGTTAACATTACACTAATGCTACAATAAGTCGTTTTTCTACAGGGAATTTAATAATAAAAGAGATATTTTCAATTGGATTCACGTAAATAATACAAATGTTCACCGAGAGACGTTATCATTTAGCCATAAGTAAAGATTGACTAACTCCAGCAAAGTATCTGCTTAAAAAATAGGTTCTAGAAATGCTAAGATGCTATGCTAATGTTAAGAAGTTTTTTGCATTTTATTTCATTCAGTAAATGTGAGTATCAACTCACAACAAACTTTTACATAGAATGGAAAATAAAATAAACAAAAAACTGACGTCTACAAGTTTATTGCAAGAATTAAAAAAAAGTGAGACACAGCAATTATAACAATAAAACAATCAGTGACAAGAAAAAGAAAGAATAAAATCAATAACAAAGATTGGGGAAAAAAACTTTTGCCGAAGCAAAAAATTATAAAAATTGTATATTTTGGTGAAATAAACCACGAATAAAATATCATATTTTAACTAAATTCGGGAGGTCTTCAAATTGTTAAGAGCTCAAAAACAGATTACCAAAATACAAAATTTTAATTTTTTATGAACAAACAACGAAAAGAAATAAAAAATCAATTCTTTGTAACTAAAAGCAACATATAAAGTGTTTTTTAACAAAATTTCAACATAAAAGCAAACTAAACAACCGAGCTCAGAAAAAAATACATTACTTTGCAAATTTATTTAAAGATCTTCAGATTCCATATATGACTCTTCTGATTATAGTAATATATTTATTTGTACTGGCATTACAACTCATTATATCCTAGATTTTAACAAAAGTTAAATTTTTCTATTTTCTCTCGATTTTTCCATCCAATTTTTCCGAAAACTTTGGATATCTAATCAATATTCCTATCAAGATCGATAACTCAAATGATATTTATATTTTCTTAGTCAATGTCGTACCATATGTTTTTAGGAAGCATGTGTTAATTTTTTATTGTTATTACTATCATGTGCTAAGTATTTAATGTTTTAAGGCAAAACGATGTGTCCATTTCGATTAATAATAGAGAATTGTTCACAAAATATAGCTCTAGAAAATAATTCAAGAAGACATTTATATTTATTCGACGCATCTTACTGGGTGTCCCAAATATCGAAAAAAAAAAAAAACAGGGTATTATCTACCACACTTTGTAAGTGCTGAAACCTTAAATTTAAATGGAAATTTCTATTGCAGTCTGGTTATTTAGGAATAAACAAAAAAAAAATTGAGCCCACTTTTAGCGGTACATTCATTTTATGAAAATTGTGAAAGCCTGTACTCCTTCCTTAGTATTTAAAGAAGAATATTCGGAAACTTGTGGTTATTGTTCAACTAACCATAAAAATGTATTCAAGCATTACAAGATAATTTCGTAACTAACTTATATTAAGAGATGAGCTTTGCATATTTCCTTATTACATTATTATTAGTAGCCGAACATACTAAAACCGAGGAAAAAAAATAAAAACGTTGAAAAATATAATTTGCATTTGAGGCTGATCATAAATATAATTTCTAAACGTCTAAATTTCATATCCTAGCTTCAGAGAACATCTGGCATATGTAGCTTGTTATGTAATACCATTATTTTGTCATATCTACCAAAATCTAATAAAAAAAAAACAACGAACAAATAAGCGTTATTTATGCTTCGTGAAATACGGCAGACAAGGTAGTGTGGCGTAGAGATATTTTTTAGAAGCCGCAGAACAAAAGTTTTCCATCAGATTTCGTAAAAACGAAATAATGTAATCAGGTGTCAAGGAAAATCAATAATTTTGTTTTCATTGCAGTATTTTTTTAAATTTTTACTATACCTACTATACTATACTAACAAATTAAAATTACAATATGCAAATTTTTAATCGAAGAAAACATTATTATTTACCATAAAAGGCTATTTTTTTAGGTATTTACTTCAAGTTGATTGAATTTAGTAATTACTTTGTTAAATGTGAAATTAAAAAAATGGAAAGGTAAAACTCTTTCTAACAATTAAATTTAACATTTAAACCTTACGAAATAATACAAGAAGCATATTTCAAGAAAAATAATAAATAAGTTTAAATATGAGCGGTATATTAAATAAATTAGTTAATTAGTTAATTAGTGAATTGCTTAACAGCAATAAACGACATTTATGAGTCGCTTACATCCAGTATCTAATTTCGAAAAAAATCGTCATTATATACGTTGCAGCTACGTAAAATACGTAAAAACAATTAAAATGAAATAAACAATCCCTTGGGTCGAAGTCGTTGTATTCATATTATGCAGATACATTTTCATAAAAAACTTTTTTTTAAATAATTATCTACTTAGAGCTAAAGACAAAGATTCGAAATTTATGGAAAAATTAGGTGTGGGAAAAAATGGTTATTTCCTCAAATAAATTAAAAAACGGTTTTGTTCCCAGAGAAAAAATGTAAAAAAGGAAAATTTCAGAAAATTTAACCTTTTGTTAAAATATTGGATATAAAGGGTTCGACCTACTGTTTGCCCAAATAAATAATATGATATGTATTTAAATAAACAACATTTACAAATTATTTTAATAAAGAAACTCTATTTCTGCTTTTAGAAGATCCTCAACATATTCAGAATGACTAAGAAGAGCACGTTGTTCTGGAATTAGAAACATCACATATGCACATACTTCTATCTATAGAAGTATGTGCACATATGGAATCTGAGGATCTTCCTTTAATAAATAAAATGTTTTTTTTTTGAGATCCGTTTTTTAATTTGGTTTTAATTTATGTCTGAATAAAAAACTCTTTAAATACGTTGCTTTTTAGGGAGCTGTTTTTTGTTTCTTGCCTTTTTGCCATTTTAACTAAAATATTTTGTTAATTTGTGCTTCAGATCTATTAATTTGAGATCAGAAGGCATCCCGATCTCGTATACATTAATTTTGTTAAAATATGTTATTCATATTTACGGGAAGTTTGTAAAAACACAAAGCTAAGTTACTTTCTTTAGCGTCAAATACGATAAAACAGTATTTACTCGCTTTTCCCCGGACTATAAAAGACCTGCCGGTTAAAGTGACGGCTAACAACAAATTTCAACAGCTCCACCGGACAAAAATAATGCAATCCGAACACGCAAAGCCCATAAAAACTAAAACACAGACGTCAAAATGCAAGCATGAACCACTCGTTGCGTTATTATGAATAACTAAGGCTGTTACGAAACAGTATGTGTTAAAATCCCGCTAATTACGCGCGTTCGTCCCGGCGGTAAGTGAGAACCACTTTCTTCCAAGGTCAACAAAATTCCGTGCCCGCCTGCAGAGCGTCGGCTCGCTGATTTTATAAATAGCAGTGACTTCACTGCGCAACGGATTTACCAGCCAAAAGGAAGAAATGTGTCTTGAATATGTAGAAGTAAAAGAGGTCATCTTATTATTCTCGATGCAAATGGTCGGTTAATGCTGAAATGGTGATTTTGTTGCCACTGTTTCCGCACAGAGGGCAAAGGGTCAATAAATAGTGCACATTAACGCTATGTGCCAGGATCCAGGATCAAAATCGGATTTTCGAGGAGGTATCCTTGAGCCATGGGCACCACTGCACCAGGGCGAGGAATCCAATCAAATCTACTAGACTTTTTGTTTTTGGGAATTCTCTTTCAGATGGCGCCCAGAGAATTTGAAAAAAAAATCGTTCAGACTAGGAAAATGGTCTTCCAAATTGAAAAAGACCGTAATTTTTTCATATATTCAATCTTTATACCGTGTTTTGTCGCTAAGACACATGCCTAAAACCAGTGAAAGTGATAAAAGTACCTGTTCATAATCGAAAGAGGAAGTTTCAGGAATTTTTTTCGGTCTCTTTTTGAGACTTTGTCAACTTGATCAAAATTCAAGCCGAAAATTTGAAAAATGGGTTTTTGTCCCTTGAGATTTTTCGAGTAGTCTTTTTTCGATGCTTTTTCTCAGCCTTAATTTTCTAGTACCAATACAATGTGAGCAAATGTATATTAAGTCGAAATTTCAAATAAACATGAACTTTTATCTAGCAGCTTCCTTCTGAAATGCCAAATATATTTCTGGTAGTACGTTTATTTTTTTTTTTAAATAAAACTATTACCTATTTCTTTATGGTATAGTTATTTTTCCAGCAGGTTTTATCTAATATAAGCATTCAAGGTGATGAGCTGATTCATTTGGAACATACAGCGTAAGTTTGTATTTGGAATTCGACATAAATACTATCATTATTCAATTCAAATTATCTTAATAAAAGTACTGCATTTTATTTTAACGAATGACGCAAACTAGTCACTTGTTAACCGTCACATTTTGTAAAAATTCACAGTATTCCTGAAATAACTAAACGTGTTTTGTATAACTTAAGGAGAAAGCTAACGGTAAATAGTGGTAAACAAGAGACGACAAATATTTTCCATTTGAAGTGAAATTACTAAAATACTTGCAGCACTACATGTTACGTAGTTAATTTAAATATGTAGTTTGTTTAAAAGTACCTTCCTTTTTCTATTTTATTATCACCCGGTATCATATCGGTCATTTTATAATAATAATTAATAAAATTTATAAACAATACTGAAAGCTACTATAGCGTACCGAGCCTAATCGCTACAGCACTATCGAAAATAGGTCTAGGATTGATATGTATGGTTTGACCTAAATTAAAAACGCTTTTACTACAACATATAGTGGAGGATTATCAGTTAGACTCGACAGATATTGCCTGCGTGTGGGCAGAACTGTATCATAAAACTGCGAAGTGCAAGTCGAAAGCTTCATCTGGAAATTTCAGATTCGAGGTACTCCGTACCAACTTTCGTTTTCAAGTGGGCGGGGCACCAATTTTCATTTTACGTTTTATTCTACGAAATACGCGCGACGTAAGCGTTTATGGGCAGCGAAGAAACGGTTATTTGACAAATTTAGAATGCAGTTCTTTAATATTAATCATAACTACCTAAATATGTAAATTATTTCCTTAATGTGACAGGTGCTTTAAATCTTCGGGGACCTACCACGAGTGTGATAGAGATGGAATAGTAGTGAGGTACCAAAATAGTTCTATAATACAAATTTTATGGGACTGGATGTGGGCTGAAAGAAGTAAAAATGGTTTCGGTTACGTAATTAGAAAAGTGAACCAAAGATGCAGATCTAGAACTTAAGAAAGAGCTTTGCACAGATTCAAAAACCGTAGTAAGAATTTAAAAAATTCAAAGGCTCAAATTTTTGTATACCCTTTCGTGAAATTGTCTAGAGTTTGAAGCATCACCAGATGACACAAAAGTACACGGACCTCTCCTATAGGTCGTTTCGCATTACCTAATGTTAATACTACAAACTTAAGAAAAACATTTTTGAATTTTTTTGAATTACCTATAGATGTGAGCCTATGATTTGAGTCACCCAGTATATTTGATAAGAAATATTAATAAAACACTTTTTTAAAATCATTTGGATACATAAAAAGAAGCTAGGAATATTTGAATATTCATAACCATTAGAACAAATTCTAAATAATGGCGAAGGAGCTGGTTAAAAATAGTATGATCTGTTGTACTTTAATGTTTACTGGTGGCAAAAAATTTAAAATTAATGTTCGTTGGCAGTTATTTTATTAGAAGTTGGCTATTATATAAGATTTTAAAAAAATTTTGAAAATGGTAAGGAAACAAGAGATATTAAACATGAAACGAACAAAATTAATAAAGTTCTCAATTAAAAAAGTATTGTGGGAGTCTATTAAACTGTTCAGAAAAATAGAGGATGATGAATCAACAAATTTACCAACATCCGCAGTTATATTATACAGGGTGATTCATAAATGGCGACCAAAAATGAAACCTCGTATTCTTTGGTGAATTTTAAGAGTTTTTCCTATAACGTTTTTAAATAGGACATTTCGTTAAAAAGATACAGGGTGTTAAACAAAAAAACAATATTTTACATTTTTTTAAATAATTTAAAAATTAGTAAGTTTAATAATTTGAAATTGGGCACATGTATTTATGTAAACATTGTCCAAAATCTGAGGGCTTTTCCTAAATTTTACATGCTCCAGTGATGGAGATACTGGGTATCGGTGGCATATTTTTCTAAATAAAACAGTACGCCACTGCTTTGCGGTAACAATCATGATATTTTCCGATTCGTTTTTCAATTTTCTACAAATTATTACTCTCTTATGTTTTCGAAAAAAGACCGATTTTCGAGTTAATTTTTTTCCATTTTAATCATGATTATGAAGTGTTCAAGCTCAAAAAACGTGACGCTTCAATTTTTTGCGTTAATTTACTTAAAAATGCACTTTATTTCGACATTCGACCTTGGCAGCAGATGAAAAATTGCACGAAGGAACCGATGCTAATATTAATGTCAGCACTAATGGTTGTACATGTGTAGCACCCATTAGGACGTAATGTTCAACAAATTGAAACAAATTTCTAAAAATGTGATCCATATCGCATTAAGTGAAACATCAAAAACATTTGGAACTCCGTGTTGTAACTTTTATGCAACGTCTTACCGCTCACAGTGACATATTTTACCGTCACGATCTGTACCGTCGACTAATGGGAACGATTATGGAAATAAAAACATTTTTGTGGAGCAACAGAGAAGGTCAAAAATGTAATCTTGGATATGGTTAAATGTACCAACGACCCTAAATTTACACGGAAAAAAAATTAGTAGGAACTGTAATAATGTATGTATAAATGCTAAATTCCACAAAAAAATATATTGTAGTAAAATTATGTGTTAGTACATTGTTAAATATTAACTAAAACATATTTTACCACAATATTGTGTCTATTTAAAATTCCGTATAGAAACTTAAAAAAAAGCAGTTAATTTGTGTCTCTTCCGGCATTATTATACTGCATAAGTTAGCTGCAGTTCTGTCATATATGTAGACGTGTTAGTCGTTGTTGATGCCTACCATTCTGGTAGTGAATAATTGTATAAAATAAATTACGTTAAATTTTTATGTGCCTACTATTTCTGATCGAATATAGCTTTAAAGAGCCAAATATTTTTGTTTTATACACACTTAAAAGACTTTTTTACAGTACCATCTAGAGCTAGTAATATACAATCATCAATAAATCATTTAGTTTGCACTTAATTCATGACAAGATCACAAAACAAACAGCTAGATGTATTATAGACTTCGCACTTCCACATAAGTTATCCGTAAAACGAACTTCAGGCACAGTGACACAGTCAACTCTTATAATATTGCGCCCGTTCGTATTTATAGCTTTTTACACCGAACACCTCTAAATTAACGCTAATGACACACTATATTTTTTAAAAGCCTTTTAATAAAAATTTCACTTTCTTCAAATTCAATGATTTACTTACACAATAACGAAAGATGTGTTACTACAGCAATTAACACCATTGTGAGATCCACGAACTAAGAAAATAAAAAAAAATATATAAAAATCCAAGTATAAAACAAGTTTAACTGACTAAATTGAAAATTTCATTTATTTAATCTCAAAGTGTTGTCCACTTGAAATAGTTTCCATTAGAAAAATTGTCAAGTACATATCAAGAAAATTCTAGAAATATTTAGAATAAAATGTGTTGAAACTAAGCCAGTTTCAAAGAATTTAGATACATTTTGCGTCCAGAATATCAAATTAAATTGGCAATAATGGATTTTTCACCCCATTTTACCACGCATAAATTGTTTATCGCTATTAATAATACATATATATCTATTTGGCACACTCTGTAGCCCACCTTTACTAATAAACTCCCACCTTCCCTATATATGTTACCAAATCTCTATAGGTGTCAAATTCCATAAACAGTATCATAATTATTTTATTGCCACCGGATTGCGATTATTCAAAATTTACTAATTGCATTAAAAGTGTGACTTGCCTTCACCATCACCCATTGTTACACAAATTTCGGCAATACCTTTTAGCAGGGACACTTTTTCCTATAAAACCTTAGCCAGGTCCGACCAAAATCATTGTCATCTCACCATCAGACAATAAGCATTAGCAATGAAGCCTATCTTGGTAAGTGTTATACTGTTAGGCTATATTAATCTAATTCCTCACTTCTTCCCCAGGTCCTATCTGTTCTTGTGGCGCTGGCCTATGGACGTCCAGAACCGCCTTCTGGTTACAATTACCCATCGCCATCAAGTAGGTACGGAGCTCCTTCAGGAGGCCAAGACCAAGGAAGATCCAGGTCCAATGGGCAAACCGGCTCTGGATTTGGTGGTGGTTCAGGATTTGGAGGTGGTTTTGGAAGTGGATCAGCAGGTTCCTTCGCCAGTGGAAGTACTTCCGCAAGCTCTGGACAATCCAGCTCAGGTGCAGGATTCGGCCAATCCGGAAGGTCGTCCTCTGGAGGCGCATCTTCAGACAGCATAACCATCAACAAACACATATACGTACACGTCCCACCACCAGAACTGGAGGACGAACATCAACAAAAAGCACGAGTCAACGTGCCACCTCCACAGAAAAACTACAAGATCATCTTCATCAAAGCTCCGAACACTGCTGCAGCTAGTGTACCTAAAATTCCTCCGATCCCGCAGAATGAAGAAAAGACTCTCGTCTACGTCTTGGTGAAGAAACCCGAAGAGCAAACTGAAATCGAAATCCCAACAGCGGCACCTACGGAACCATCCAGGCCAGAGGTCTACTTCATCAAATACAAGACTCAAAAGGAATCGAATGGGCAACAAGGCGCTGCTGAAGGTGATGATGACACCGTGGAAGTTGGAGCTCGTGAAGGTGCTCGACAAGCTGGTGGTCAACAGGGTGGAGCTTCAGGTGGAGGCTACTCTTACAGTTCATCAAGGACTACCTCCTCCAACGAGGTGTCCAGGCAGTACGGTGCTCCCAACTCAAGCGGACCTTATTAAGCGAACCAATCACTCAGTTAACTTATCATGACCCGGGACGTTATTTACTTTAAGTCAATGTAAATTTGTTTTCATTTTTCATGTACATATATCGTATATTTCATGTAAGGGGTACAAGCAGTATTCTATAGGTTATGTATATAATATTTTTATTATTTAAATCAGCATAAATACGGTGACAAATAAAGTATTTATAGTATCCTTTGAATTTTTTTATATCTAATAATTATAAACCACAATCTCGCATTTTTAGATAATCAAGAGCAAAAGTTTTAAATAAAAACATAAAATTACATCAATGCTAATACAAAGATATAATGGAAAAGTGAAGTTCATTCACGTATTCTCTAGAATTGTATTTCCCCATTTTTTATTCCTCAAACCGACACATTCGATTTTTTTACGATGTTTGCGTCAAAAAAAATTGGGGGGCCAAGTTTTTACTATTTTTATGAGTAAAAAAAGTAAGTTTACTAATTAATATTGGCTATTTGTATTTAATAACCAAATTATGTGTGTAAAAACCACAGTGCCACAATTTTAATACACTTTTCAAAATACTAAAATGTTTCTCTAAAATTCATCCCAGAATTTAAAAAAAGTTATCTAGAATCAAAGTTTTTTGTTAATAAAAACATGTTTTGTTTATTTTGTGATATTTTCTACCAATAAACTGACATGAATTTTCAAAATGGACACTACCTAATGAATTTGAAATAATTTAATTGTAATACAGAGCACAGAGATCTAGAATGATTGAAGGTCCATCTACTCAAAATAAATTTCTGTTGGTAATAACGAATCATTGTTAGTGTTGCTAACTGTGGTAATAAAGTATACGCTACAAAAAGTATTTCTAGAGAGCGACTATTTCAACCATTTTGAATCTTTCTGTACAACCAATTGAAATGACTTGTTAATATACAAACTACGAAGAGAAGAAAATCTACCTGTATTACCTAATTATTTCCAATACCAGTTTCTTTATTTCGCCATTAATGAAATATTCAATCGTCTTTCCACTATGGAGAGCAATGAATTATTTTGCTCTTATAACCATTGGAGGAAATATACATACAACATTTGCAACTTCAAATCTTTCAGTCGTATGCTTGATACCCGACATTTTTTTGTGCCTAAATTGCAAGATATGGATGTAGACGACATATGGTTTCAACAAGACGGTGCCACAAGCCATAGAGCCCGAGAAAGAAATCAATTACTGCATGAGTCATTTCCTGGTCGTGTAATTTCCCGTTTTGGTGATTAGAATTGGCCGCCCAGATGATGCGATTTGACGCCGTTGGACTTTTTTCTTTGCGGTTTTTTGAAGTCTATGGTTTATGCCAACAAGTGCACGACCACCCATGTTTTGAAGGAGGTAATTGAGCGCCGTATCAACGAAAATTTCGACCAAAGAGTGTGTCACGAAACGCCAACAAAGCCGTGAGGCCATTTATCCGATATTCTATTCCATACGTAACCTTATACAGTATACTTAAATGAATCAATAAAAAAATTAAAATTTTTAATTAAAAAATTGTGTTTTTATATTTGAAATTATTCATATATACATAAATATGTAAGAATGTATATAGTTCTCTATTAATTAAAATACTCGTACCCACTTAGATTTGTAAAATGAAAAATACGTCATCTCAATTAATTAGTTCAACAGCTATTAATGATATTGTACTAAATAATGATAGTTGGAGGTCTAAAAGTAAAATGAAGATACAGCTGCAGACATCCAAATGCGATCTGTTTACTTAATTGATACTTTTCTAAGACTGCAGGTACAGAGCGCCAAATATGTAGCAAACGTGCCACGACCTAAAACAATAGACTTAATTTTAAGGCAAAAACATCGCAGTTCCAATAATCTTACATAACAAGTAGATAATGTTTATACTTCACATTTTCTAAACTGAAATCGGTTAAAGAGTCTACTTAATTTAATTATCGTTGTTAGTTTTTTTGGTTAACGTCAAATTTATTGTAAAATGTATTTGCTGTACTTTCTAGCGGGGCTGATTTTTCCTATATAACCCCGGTTACATCCTACAATTATCATTGTCTTCCGACCATCAGACAACACAAACGACAGAATGAAACCAATACTGGTAAGATGTTTTTTAATAATAAATGTTGGTTATTTAAAACCAAGACGTTCTAATTAACAAAATAGTTTTTTTTTCTTAAAAATTCACCAATGTTTCTAATTTGCAGTTACTTGCCGCATGCGCGGTACTCGTTCACGGTCGTCCAGAACCTCCATCTGGCTACCAGTACTCTGCACCACCTTCTAGCCAATACGGAGCGCCATCTGGCGGCGGCGGTGGCGGCGGATTTGGCCAAGGCGGCGGTTTTGGTGCGTCCGGCTCAGGCGGCGGATTCGGAGGAGGTTCCGGTGGTGGTTTCGCAGGCGGTGGATTCGGAGGTGGCTCAGGAGGCGGCTCTGGTGGTGGATTCGGAGGCGGTTCAGGCGGCGGCTTCGGAGGCGGTTCAGGCGGCGGATTCGGAAGCGGTTCAGGAGGCGGATTCGGAGGCGGTTCAGGAGGCGGATTCGGAGGCGGTTCAGGAGGCGGGTCCGGGGGCGACTCCGGAGCTGGAGGCGGATCCGAGGGCACCATCACCATCACCAAGAACGTTTACGTTCATGTAGCACCCCCAGAGGAAGAGGAACAACAACCCAAGGCAAAGGTCAACCTTCCCCCTCCACAGAAACACTACAAAATCATCTTCATCAAGGCGCCGACCGCTCCAACTCCAACCGTTCCTGAGATTCCTCCAATACCTCAAAACGAAGAGAAGACTCTCGTCTACGTGCTGGTGAAGAAACCCGAAGAGCAACCAGAGATAGAGATCCCCACTCCTAAACCTACCGAACCCTCCAAACCAGAAGTGTACTTCATCAAGTATAAGACCCAGAAAGATGAATCTGGTGGTCAAGGAAATGGCGGTGGAAACGGTGGTGGAAATAGCGGTGGAAATGGTGGTGGAAATGGCGGTGGAAACGGCGGTGGAAGCGGAGACGCGGGGAGTTATTCCCAAGGGGGTGCATCTTCTGGGGGTGGATCAGGCTACTCGCAAGGGGGCTCTTCTGGTAGCTCTTACAGCTCTGCCGGCGGGTCTGGCAGTGGTTTGTCTAGTCAATATGGCCCACCTGGTTCGCATTAAGAGAATATTCCATTGATGGAGCGTTCATTGCATCAATGACTCGTGAGAGATGTGATATACACTTAAGGATACTTAGATTACCTGCAAATAGCTTTTTTATATGTAATTTTAGTAAATAAGTCGTTCCATTATTTAAAACAAGCATACAACGGTGACAAATAAATGCTTTTTCTATAAATTTAATTATTTGATTATTTGGATCCTACTTATTATTTTAGTGGATGACTAAATTTTCAATAGATCCAATTTAGTGAAATTGGATTTCGACAATCGAAGTTTGGTAGATACTGATTTGATTAGGACCTAAACCAATTCAAATTTCGGAATTTAGTCTAATCACATTCGAATTAAATTCCCAATATAAATTACATAGTACCTATTGAAAGCATGTGTAATTTTTCTGTTCCATATTGTATTCACAATACAGTACTGTCCATTTTCGGATTACGACGCAAATAACAATGTATAAGACAAGAATAAAATAATTTTTTTTGGTAAATATATAAAAAGTTTTGTTATTTGATGTCATTTTAATTTTTTATCGAAGTTGTGGAAGTTATCTATCTCATACAAACTTATTTGTGTTCGGTCTGTACTCGATTGATGTATCTAAGTATAAACTTTTCAACTATCTACATGCAATGGTGAAGAATATGAAATAGTCAAGTTCAATAATTATCAAATCAAAACCCATTTAAGAACCATTATTTATTTAAATTAAAGAAATAAAAATAACTGCATACTAAACTAGACATTTTTCTAAAAAGTAGACCCAGATTCACGTTGGTTAGTCAAAGGTACTCTTGAGATCTTGAAAACTACTATTTGGTAGATACTTTGTCATAACTTGCCTTTTTATGAGATTCATCGCCATGATTTTTGTATCTGATGAAGTACACCTCTGGTCTAGCTGGTTCCGTGGGTTCTGGAGTAGAAAGCACAATTTCTTCAGGTCCTTCTTCTGGCTTCTCACTTAAAATGTAAACGACAATCCTTTGTTCGTTTTGCGATACAGGAGGAATTACTGGAGCTGCACCAGCAGATGGAACAGTTGGAGATCTAATAAAAATGATTTTATAATGAGTTCGTGGAGGAGGCAAATGAACATCTGTCTTTTCCTTGAATTGTTGCCCGAATTCTGGCGCTGGTAGGTGAACATATATATTTTTTTGTATAATATTTTGACCAGGTTCAGTCTCATCAATATTGAAATCTTCAGTTTCACTTGAAGAGAATGCTCCATTAGCAACATCTGCATCAGAATATCCTTCAGAAGAAGACGAGTTCCCAGTATTAAATGTTGAAGATAAAACATCTTTGGCGCTTGAGGCGTAATCTTCAGTTAACTCTCGAGGACTGATACCGGAGCCTCCTTGAGACGACAAAGCAAAATTTGATGTATTTAGACCCAGTGGTGAAGTACTAGGAAGCGGTCCGACAGATGCCAGAGGCACAGAGTAACTATTAAGGACAGACCGAGTAAATTGGTAGCCCGAAAATGATTCAGAACGTCCATAAATTGTCGCTAGGAAGACACTAATTAACTGTAATAATAATATAAGTGGCTTATTACATAAACGTCTATTAGGACTTACCGCAAAAAACTTCATTATGTGTGATGAGAAAGTGTCATTCGACAAAAAGCAATAATAATAGTAAAAGTATATCTACGATTTTATACCTAGACAAAACTCCCCACATAGTGTCACAGACTGGAATTACTTACTAAATGACGTGAAATAAGCATAAGTAATGTTAATATCTTACAAAATTCGTTAGAGAAAATTACCTAGTAAATTGTGCTTCACGATTTTAAGACGAAATAAAAGTAATAACTTTGTTTAGTAGTGGAAAGTATACAGCAAATAAAGACGTTTATATGTCTCTAATGACTGACCTACCTCGACAAACAAGTTATATACACTTATATACAGAAACAAGGATATAAACATTATTTGACAAATTACTCTTTCTTTCTACTATTTTTTACAGAAATAATTAATCAACAAGCAGCTAATATTAACTGCATTTTATGACAGACGGAAAATATAATTGTAAATACTTAAGTAGTAGTGTTGCAATATTTTATTTAAAATTTAAAGACATTTACGCGATACAAAGGTTTCAGATCCCCATGCCCATATGCGAGATGTGTGTATTAGATGTTTTCCCAGTTTGGTAGTAATAAAAACGGTTGTAAATAAACACGTGTAAAAACTATCGCTATCTAACATTGCTAAAAACCGCTGAAGAGAGTCACTTCATCTCGCATGCAACCACACGATTTGTAAATGAATGACATTGAAATATGTGTCGAATGTCTACACAAAAAATTATAAAAGTTATTTACTAATTACTTCGAGTGTATTCTTAAGTTAAGGTTAAGAACAATTTTAAGCAGAGGAGTATCACTGTAAACAAATTTGAAAGGAATACAGATATATTTTTAACCTTCAGGAAAAAGTAGGATAGTTGTCAGTGTCATTTTATGTTGCAAACACTCGAATACACGTTTGTACGATCAGTGTTACAAAATGCCACGAACTTAGTCAAATTTAGAGTATGTAAATATAGCGTTTGTTTATGGTTTTTGTAATGGGAATGCTAATGCTGCTGTGGAAGAATATCGTGAACGAGTTCCACATCATAGATATCCTGATAAAAATGTATTTATCAGAGTTTTCAACAAACTATAAGAAACCGGAAGCCAATCGTGCGTTGTCGGGTTGCCTAAGCTTCCGTAGTCACGTAGCTTGTATAACTGGTAAAGTTATAAAAGATATTACTTTTAATCTGCTTAGATTCTCTACAATCCTCGTCAAAAACTGCCATAAATCTACTGAAAATTGCGCATAAAAACACAAACAAGAAGGTAAAAATAAGCAAAATAGTTTGTAATAAAGGTCCGATAATGCAACATTTTTCAGATGGGCCTTCGAGTCAGGAATGTATAGACGAATTGAATACTGAACTTCATCTTGCACTGCAATATCAGTTGATGTCATTTTAAATAGAAATGATATCATTTTGGTTTGATATAAACAATAAATAAGAAAGTAGTACCACTGTATTCAACTTTTATTTTTTTTTTATACGTTAAAATGGTAATTAAATCACTGAAGTTAAAGGGTAAGGATTAAAGACTATGTTCATCATTAACATTTGACTTATCTATGTAAGTTATAGAAATGCTTTATTGCAGAAAAAACATAAGATGAAATCGCTTGACGTGCAATTAAACCGAGTCACTTTGTTATATGGTGTAACAAACATTTGAAATCTCGTATCGAGCATTGCAAAAAAATGCAAGACCTACATCTACGCCTCGTGCGATCTAAGGACATCGGTTATTGCGGGTCACTTTATATAACGACGGCAAAGAAGCCATTAGTCTGCCGCTCGAAGTACATTTATTAAACGTGAACCAAATAAAGTTACTTTCTGTACTTTCACTTCCCGTTGTCTTATATATTATTAAATATCCGACCATTATAATAACCACCGGAATTTACGATTCCTTTCTCTTCACCAGGAAATAAAGAAAGACGGTCCTTCGTTTGTCAATGTTTATTACAAAATTGAAAAATAAAAAAATAAAATTGATTTGTCACCGTACTTAAGCAAAATAACATAAAAATACATAAAACTTATACATAAATATGGTAAATCTAATGAAATATATACAAGTGTAAATGACACGAGTTCGAGTTAAGTGTAAATATCACATCTGTCACAGATCAGTAACGCATTTCAACAAATAACTGATATCCTGGTCATCAGTTATACCCGTAAATTTATGAATTTCGTTTCGTTTCTTTATTTGTGGTATCCGGGTGGACCGTATTTAGCTGATACTCCGGCTGAGGATCCACCGATGGAACCCGAGATGACTCCTGAACCGGTTGTAATACCACCAGCTCCATGACCTGCAATGGAAACGTCACCAAGACCTGCACCGCCGCCAATACCGGCGCCGCCACCGACTCCATGTCCTCCGTCGATCGATAGACCATCTAGGGAAACACCTCCATCAGCGATGACTCCAGAACCTATGCCTCCAGCACCAATACCAGCGCCGATGCCGCCACCGATACCACCGCCAATACCAGCACCACCTCCACCAACGGCTTCCTTCTGTGTCCTGTACTTGATGAAGTATACTTCTGGTTTAGAGGGCTGGGTGGGTGCTGGAGTCGGAATTTCGATGTCTGGTTGTTCTTCTGGTTTCTTAACCAGGACGTACACGAGGGTTTTCTCCTCGTTCTGGGGCTGTACTGGGATGATAGGAGCGGTAGGGGTGGGTGGATTTGGTGCCTTGATGAAGATGATTTTGTAGTGTTTCTGTGGAGCGGCCACCTGGATGGTCTTGGGAGCGCGTACTTCTTCTGGCTCCTCGGGGGCCACGTGGACGTAGACGTGTTTCTGGACTACGACACCACCGGCTCCTCCGGCGAAGCCACCACCACCTCCAGCTCCTCCACCGAACCCACCAATACCGCCAGCGCCTCCAGAGAAGCCACCAATACCTCCAGCGCCTCCAGAGAAGCCACCAGCGCCTCCAGAACCGAATCCTATGGCGCCGCCTGAGAATCCACCCTGTCCTAAGTCAGCACCCCCAGAGGTGAATCCGCCAATTCCGCCGGAGGTGAATCCTCCATGGCCTAAGCCAGCACCGCCAGCGGAGGCGCCGAAACCGAGAGAAACGCCGGATCCGCCTCCCAGTCCTCCGTGGATACCGCCAAGGCTGCCGCCCAAGGCACCCCCAGAGGGTGTTCCGTATTGGATGGAGGGGATGGCGGATGGAGAGGGGTAGTTGTAGCCTACGGGTGGTTCAGGTCGGGCGCATACGACGGCCACCAGGGCAGAGATAATCTGTGGAGTAGAAGTATTTATAAATAAAAAACATAATTTTTATTTTTTTTTAATTATAAACGAAATAAAAATCTAGGGGAATTAGTTTTGCATTGAAATGAAAATATGTAGTGCTTATTGAAAGTCGAACAGAAATAAATTACACAAAAATTTGTCTAATTGTTTCAGTGAAGTTGAATATTTATTTAAAATTATTGCTATTTTAAAAATGTAAAAACAAAAATTAGGTAAATTTTACCGTTTAACAATGATTTAATAATTGCGAATAAATGGAGAAACTTTAGTTCTTTGAAATTATCAAGAGAAGAAAGCAAGCCGAATCTTTTGTATATTTTATTACATAATCTAGTGTTATTTTTTCCAGTTTTTTCCATAGGAGTAAATGATTTTTGCTACCAGTTTTTTTGTATTTATGCGTAAATGCAAGAAAAGGGCATTAAAGTTCTAGTTCTAGTTGCAATTTTTTTATTAGTTTCATGCTGACATAATCTGAGTATGATTTCGATTTATAAACAAAACGCCACAAGAGAGATATTGTAGTTGGTTAAGAAAATAAAATATTTGAATGAAATCAAAACGATATTCTTCCGAAATAGAACCCTTAAAATGATTTGGGATGCCAAATACTATTCATTAAATACAGGAAACATTTTTTAATCGCATTTAAATGATGGATTTTTTTTTATAATTGTTATTTTTCTTAATAGCCACGTATTTGAAAACGCCGGCATCCAATTTTTGCCCGAAATTAAAATTTTCCACTTCACAAAAGCCAATCAACAAATTATGTAATCAACAAGCACTACACTTTCCGCAACACGAGAAACATCCAAAATAGAAAAATCACTTTCACTTGCGGCACTGGCGAAAAATTCAAACTGGACTTACCAGAAACGGTCTCATCTTATGAGAGCAATAATTGAGTGGGTTACTCAATAAGGTCTGAAAGTATTTGACGCTGTTCCAAAATCTGAGCCAACTTTTTATAGTAATCCCCTTAACCCCCACTAGAAAGTAGAATCTGTACTATCGCTTTATGGAAGATTTAATTAATTTAATGATGTAAACGTAAATAGTAAATCGGGCAGTATGGTGTGGTGCTTTTCATATTATACCGGGGATGACTCAAGGCTGCGTACCATCGAAGTGAAAGAGTTCGCCGGGGCTGATGGGGTCATTATAACTATTTTTAGGGGCACAACCCACTTAACAAAAAGCAAACACGACGGCCAGGACACAAATATTGACGCTGCAATTTATTGTTCCGTAGGTAAATAAATTCAGAGGCGAAAAATATGTTTGCGCGGTTGTGAAAATTAATTAAAATCTCGCAGGATATCTAACGAGATATGCCGCTACTTGCGCGGTCTGCCGCTGCAATTAACGTACGCGGGATGATTAAAAAGTAAGTAGTACCGCAAGTTGGTAAGTTGATAAGATGTTAAATTAATGCCCGTGTCTAATAAATTTAATTTTGCATGTAACTAATTTATTTTGTGCATTTTTGATTTGGTTTAGATCAAGAGGTACAACAAAAACATTTAAATTTTTTTAAAGGACTTATAGTATATTTAAAAAAAAATAATAATTCACTTTATATGATACTGCATACCAAAACGAGAAATTATAACCTGGATTATTTTATAGACACTTTAAATCATGAAGATGGCATTAAAAGACGAGTCTGATTTTTCCGTAATACTATTTCCCGATAAATAAAGGAAAAATTAACAGCCCGAGGTCACCAACTAAACATTTAATGTAACAAGAAATGTTTGACATAGATTGAAATGATTGAAACAGAGATTTTATAAATCGGAAAAAAAACAGGAAAAAAACTATTTTTCCGTTTTTTAACCAAACGGAATGAAAATAACATTTTAATTTTTATTAATAACCGACCTTTTTTATCGCTCTGTACAATGAATAATTCTAACCTGAATCACACTGTACGATAGAAATGAGATTTTGGTATTACAAAATGGAATACCTATAATTAAACTATAATTTTTTTCGTTAAAACGATTTTCCAATTTGTACCATTNATATTTAAAAAATAATAATAATTCACTTATACTGTACTGTATACCAAAAGGAGAAATTATAACCTGACTTATTTTATAGTCACTTTTTAAATCCTGAAGATGTCATTAAAAGCAAGGTTGGCATGATATATATCAATGATATATATATTCGATATATATCATTGATATCTATCACGATATTTATTCCTTGATTTATATCATGATATTTATAAAAAATTAAATAATGATTCCTACTGGTTTAAATTGATAAAACTGTTAACAGATGGCAGCAAAACCGTATGCTAATCGTTGATGTGATTCCCCGAATTTTCCAACAAAGTAAAATTGAATGAATATTTTCAATTCATTATTTCTCCAGGTGTTAGTCAATTCGAGCAGGTGCTGAGTGTTTGTATTTGTTTTAATATTTATGAAATTTATGTTGACTTCGGCGTAAATTGGTTAGTTTTCGTAGTACTTAATATTCGCGCAAATATTTGTTATTAATTTCAGAATTTATATTTATTTTTTCGTTCTTGTTTTTGATATTTGGAATAAAAATATTTACCTAAATAGTTTATTTCGTTACCTACTATAATATACATAAACTAATTAATTAAAAAAAAAAATAAATATCAAGACTTGATATATATCGGATATATATCAAGATATATATCCGATATTTGATATTTATATAAATATCATGATATTTGCCAACCTTGATTAAAAGACGAGTCTGATTTTTCCAATACTATCTCCTGATATATAAAGGAAAAATTAACAGCCCGAGGTCACCAACTAAACATTTAATGTAACAAGAAATGTTTGACATAGATTGAAATGATTGAAACAGAGATTTTATAAATCGGAAAAAAAACAGGAAAAAAACTATTTTTCCGTTTTTTAACCAAACGGAATGAAAATAACATTTTAATTTTTATTAATAACCGACCTTTTTTATCGCTCTGTACAATGAATAATTCTAACCTGAATCACACTGTACGATAGAAATGAGATNGTTTGGTTTGCTGGAATCCTCGAACGATTTGCTAGAGGGACGCCAGAGTTAGTTTTTCGATATTTTCAACGGTTAAAAAGATATGGAGGGGCTTTGTTTTTACCAATTGGATTGCTAATTGGATTTCCAATTGGCTTTCCAGTTGGATTCCCAATCTCCATTTCGTGGCTGAAAACATATTATTCAATTCTCGAAACCGAGAGAGTTTCACTAACCAAATTTGGACAGGATCATAGCTAATACAATGCGGAACATCGCCTTAATGGTAAAAATGTTGTCACCGCCGTTCTTGATGGTGAAAATTCGAAATATTTGAAATTATTCAATTTTCGTGGCTGAAAACATACATAGACATTGTCGAAACCAAGAGAGTTGCACGAACAAAATTTGGACAGGACATAGCAATGCGAAACATCGCCTTAATGTTAAATAAAAATAAATGACAACATTTTTTTTTAAATAAAACCACCTTTTCAATGTTGTTGCTCGTTTTAAAAAAATACGACCACTGTAAAGGTTTTGTTCGCTAAAAGATATTGCTAACCGTAGAAAACTATCACCCTGTATATAGATTTGACTAAAGCTTTAAGAAATAATATGTCATAATAGTCCAAATAAATGTGCCAAATTTTAAAGCGATCGGTAAAAGGTTTATGAAGTTATTAATTATTAAATTAGTTTTATTTTTGACAACTTTGGGCCTGCAACTCAAAAACCAAAAAGTTTTTATTTAACTTTTTTTTCTTACATCGTATTTATTTACCGTCGTGAATACGCAGTCAAACGTTGTCGGTGAAATTTGCGGTCACCCTGTATATTACTTATTTAACAAATATAATAGCTGGAACCCTTTATATCCTGGATTATGGTAAATGATTAACTTTTCCGAACTTTTTTCTAATTTTTCTGGGGGAAAAAAAATGTTTGACGTTGAATTTTTCCGGAAATTTTAGATTTCTGGTTCGGAAGCTTCTCGTCTCAAGATACTGCAAACGATTATATTGAATTAACGTACAAATATTGATCCAGAATAAATTATTGTGAACTTGCTTCATCAACACTCTGTATAAAACAGTTGCTATCGCACATCACGTGACGAATTATCAAAGTTTATATAAAGGCGTATACTACAGAAAATGACTTATTATTCAGTTATTTACTAATAAATAAACATCTGGAATATGATCGAAAAACTTAAATTGCATTTATTATAGATCTACAACTTCAAAAATTAACGTGATTTAATTATTATATAACTACGAAATGTCACGTTGAGATTTCTAAATTGTTACCCAAGCCTAATATCACTTGGGTATTGGGTATTTCTTGCACTTTCCGAAATGTCAATAAAATACACATAAACCTTTTATATCGAATGCATTAATAAATTCTTTTGACGATACATAAAAAGGCATTTATAAAATATATAATATATGACGTAGATTGCTGCTCTTACACATTACAATTGTCAATAGTTAGATTTTTGCGTTGACTCAAGATTAAAACGACTAACCACTACTGTTGGCCCGTGTTGGTAGTGCCATCTAGACCACAGAGGAAGACACTACAAAGTTACCCATTACCATTTTAATATTAATAAGAGGAGTTCTAATGAAACGTGATAAATAAACAAAATTGTTATGTTATTTTTCGACTCATTTCATATTTATAGGTAAGTAAATTATAATTCTATACCATTTTGCCACAACTAATTGACGTTTGAAACTTGAGAAATTCCGAATCATTTCCTAGATCATTTGTGTTTTTCAAAATTACATAATCTCGACTTCTGAAAGCGCTATGACAGAGTCCAAATGTGTATCAGTTCTGGATGACATGAAAATAATTATCATTATATAATTAGTGGAAGAACACGCTGATAAATGTAGAACTAGAGCTCAATAGGTATTTCCGGACACGGTCCCTTCACCTGTTACGGCATCTCACAGTTGTTTGCGTTCACATTAATAAGAACAATCAGTACTAATTTTTCAATTTCAACATCGTATATCTACTTATGTAGAGGCAATCAAAATTACAACATTTGTAAAAGTGACTAATTAACTTCACTCTTCTATTCTAATTGGTTCTATTTATTTAATTGCGAATTAAATTAGTGTAAAGCTAATTTTTTAAAACCACCATTTTTCATTGTTGAATGAAATTAAAGTGAAAATTTCTTCTTGTATTCATGTCCAAGCTTACAATCAGTGGATTCCTCCTCATTTAGTCACAAAAAAAATAACGTTTATTTACTTAATGTTTTATTATTTGGCAGTAACATTACCCACTTATCGGAAATTATTCATGTCACATTTTGAACAATGGAACCTGCTGGTTTGCTAAACTGCTGTGCTACCTCAGAAGCTTTCCTATACATATAATAACTTACATGAAACAGTGACCTCAATATAGATTCAGATATCAGGCAATTAACATAAATAAAGGCAATGGAAAAATATTTAATAGGCTGAATCAATTTTAAAGTCACTAAATGAAACAAAACTGTCTATCACATCTCATTCCTTGTACCAAGGAACATACAACCCCAAGAACTTTTACTTCTGCTCTGGTGGACCATATTTTGGTGGTGGTGGTGGGGTACTGCTAACGTGTAGGGTTTGTTCCACCGGGGTCCCAGTGACGGATAAACTGAGAGCAGAACCCCCAGTCAAAGAAGCTTTATTGAGATTCAGGTCTACGCTTGTGTGAAGACCAGAATCGCCGATTGTAACAGTAGGCACGGTTACATCGCTACCTTTAACCACATCCTCGACAATAGATATGCTTCCAGTTCCACCCTCTATAGGCAAGGGAGAACTCCCAGTCAAAGAGGCTTTGTTGAGATTCAGATCTACGCTGG